TGATTAAATTAGTAGTTTATCTTATTTTATTTTTATTACTGAATAAATAAGCGAAATAAACATATTGTGTATTTTCTTGTAAAGATATGAGGATTGGTACTAATATATTATGATACGATGATGTAAGTAGGAATTAATATTCTTATGGCAATTTTATATATATCGAAATATATTCCAATAGCGGTATATAGAGCATGCGGAATAAGCTTCGTGCATTTCAGTTAATTTTAAAAATTCCGACCTAAGCGCTCGACACGGCAGAAATCGGAATTTTTCGGCTCTGTATTTCACGCAGTTTCGATATTGATTGTATTGAAATAATATTAAGATCATGGCTTTGTCATAATATTTAAGTGTTTTAGTTTTTAATAGTACAGTTATTGAAACTATAAAACACTCAGATTTGTGTGATGTAACGCTGTTTCGGATAGCTTCGCTCTGTGTTGCGACGGTTTCAAATGTTAATAAAATTGTCTAAAAATGTTAACACGTAAAGGAGGGCGCAATTAAGTGGTTGTTGGGTAAAATAACATTAAATAACTCAAGTTTCCGGATATTCAACTCTCCCGAAACAACATTTTATAGTTTCGCAGCTTCTCACACCGATTTAATCAAAAGCAAACATGGATTCAAGCAGCTCGACGAAACAAGTGTTAAAAATCGGTGCATAGAACTATGGTAGTTACCGTAATTGAAGTCATCTAAGAAGTTTTATTAGCTTGAATAATAAATTATAATACAAGTTAGACGTTCTCAAGATATCAAATATTTATTATATATTTACTTTTTTGTTTTTATTTTTCGAATTTTCACATATTTATATTTCCCAACACTTTTAAAATAATTGTATAATACGTTTTTCGTATATTATTATATTATATAATATTTACGATATTCTCCGATGGTGGCAGCACCGGCGGAGAAAGCCTATACAGGGTGTCCCCGAAAACAGTACAAGTATTTTGAGGGGTGGTAGATCTCGATAAAACAAATATATTTTCTCTTTAACGTTTTTCAGTCCAAAATAACGGAGTTATTTTACTTTGAAAATTTCAAAAAAAAAATGATTTTTGGCCAAATTTTGAGAACCACTGGATCCTTTCTGGATTTTTTTTTGTAAATTTAATCTACTACCTATAAATTGTACTGAAGCTGTGGTTGGTTCCTTGTGAAACATCGTTGAAATATTAGTATTTTAATAAAGCACGCTTTTAGATGTTTCAAAAAACTTTTAATAAGAGTAACTTTAACTCAACATATATGTTTCGGCTTGTTAGGCCTTTTTCAAGAGTTTTTTAAGAACTAATCGTCTAACTACACTGTAACTATATATATTTACTATGGGGGTGGGTTCAGAGAGTTTACAATAGGGGTAATAAAAATGTGTTTAGAAATCCTTGTTGGTCGTTAACATTATTTTCGTTTTTAACAGATTTTAGTATTTCTAACTGTTCAATGTAATTTAAGCGTCTACCTTTTGTTTCTCTGTGTAGTAACTTAATTGAGTTTTCATTAATTTTGTGATTATTTACTATACAATGAGTTGCAAGACCAGAACTATGCTGGAGATTATTAATAGACTTTACATGTTCTTTAATCCTTATATCTAAATTTCTACCTGTTTGGCCTATGTACACGGCATCACAATCATTGCAATCCACCCTATATACACCCGACTTATTTTTGACATTAGTTTTGTCTTTATTATTTAATAAAATTTGACCTAAATTTCTTTTATTTATGTTAATAGTTTTACATCCTATTTTATTGAGATTATTTGATATTTTGTTAGTTAAATTAGGAATGTAGTTTAAAAGTCGATAATTGTTATTGTCTTTAGAATTAGCGGAATAAAAATTTTTTATTAATATTTTCTTTTGATTTTTCTTTAGCATATTATCAATAAGGGAACACTTATATCCATTGTTGATGGCGATTTGTTTAATAATATTTAACTCTTTTTTAAAATTCTCTGGGCTCAGTGGAAACATTACTAATCTATGAATTAAACTATGAAAGGGTGACATTTTGATTTGCCAGGATTGGTGTGATTGACTATGTATTACAGTGTCTGTGGTAGTGGGTTTTCTGTAAATATCAAATTGTAATCTATTAGACTGTTTTATAATTGTAACATCAAGAAAATTGATGGTGTTAATACCTTTTTCAATAGTAAATTGTATTCTCGGGTTAATTGAATTTAATAATGTTAAAAAACTGTTTAAATTTCTCTCGGTGTCTGACCAAATACAAAAAATGTCATCTACATATCTTGCCCAATAATTTATTTTTGATATTAAACTACTCTTGTTTTTAAATAGCTTCTTTTCAAAATCTGCCATAAATATTTCTGCGAATAACGGTGAAATTGGGGAACCCATCGGTAACAGAAAGATGGGTTTGATTTGGGTTTGCTTTCATAGTTTAATTCATAGATTAGTAATGTTTCCACTGAGCCCAGAGAATTTTAAAAAAGAGTTAAATATTATTAAACAAATCGCCATCAACAATGGATATAAGTGTTCCCTTATTGATAATATGCTAAAGAAAAAACAAAAGAAAATATTAATGAAAAATTTTTATTCCGCTAATTCTAAAGACAATAACAATTATCGACTTTTAAACTACATTCCTAATTTAACTAACAAAATATCAAATAATCTCAATAAAATAGGATGTAAAACTATTAACATAAATAAAAGAAATTTAGGTCAAATTTTATTAAATAATAAAGACAAAACTAATGTCAAAAATAAGTCGGGTGTATATAGGGTGGATTGCAATGATTGTGATGCCGTGTACATAGGCCAAACAGGTAGAAATTTAGATATAAGGATTAAAGAACATGTAAAGTCTATTAATAATCTCCAGCATAGTTCTGGTCTTGCAACTCATTGTATAGTAAATAATCACAAAATTAATGAAAACTCAATTAAGTTACTACACAGAGAAACAAAAGGTAGACGCTTAAATTACATTGAACAGTTAGAAATACTAAAATCTGTTAAAAACGAAAATAATGTTAACGACCAACAAGGATTTCTAAACACATTTTTTATTACCCCTATTGTAAACTCTCTGAACCCACCCCCATAGTAAATATATATAGTTACAGTGTAGTTAGACGATTAGTTCTTAAAAACTCTTGAAAAAGGCCTAACAAGCCGAAACATATATGTTGAGTTAAAGTTACTCTTATTAAAAGTTTTTTGAAACATCTAAAAGCGTGCTTTATTAAAATACTAATACTACTACCTATGTTGCCATATTATCAAGAAATTATGTTTTTAAATAAAAACTAAAAAAAATTCCAAAAATTTTTTTCCAAAAATTCCGAAATATCAAAAAAAATGTTCGCGAAAAAACCGCATAAGCGTGTTTCTGAGGTTGAACTATACTACCAGTTAAAATACTTGCACTTATTTCTGGGACACCTTGTATAGCTTAAGCACGGTAAGCTGAACGCACGATAAACACTAGGTAACAGTCGCTTGACAACAACTGTTTATTGCATTTATGTAAAATACACATATTATCAGCAGTGGTTCGACCACAGAACTATCGTCCTAGGAATATTTTTAATGTATGAAAAAAGAAAATATCATAACTGATAGAGACATGATGCACATTTTATAACAGAATTTAACAAATTAGTATATACTGGAAAATCGAATATCACAAAATTGTAAAAGGTAAGTTTTTAAGTAATATGAAAAATATCGGATTTAAACACCCCAGCAAAATATACTGTTAACTAATTCCGTTAAAAATGAACCGAACCAAATGCGCTAATACGTTTCAATCTTTCTAACTTTAATTCTACTAAAAAGGGAGAAAAACCGTGCAGATGCAAAATTTCATTTCTGGAATTAAATCCTTTTAGTAGTTTTGGCCGTAAATATAGAGCAGCCCGTTTCGATAGAGCTCGTTGCGGTTTCCGACGCAAAGCTGCTCATTTTTTTCCTCTTTCTCTTTGAGCAGAATTTAATGTTTTGTAATTAGAGAACGGAGATTGGTTGTATGGAATAATTTATTTCCTTTCGTTGTAGCGTTTCCTGGGTTTGTAATTCTTTGCTCTTTTTGGGAACAGTTTGTTTACTGCGGAATTATTTATTCATCACCGTGATAGGTAATGTTCTAAACGCTATAAAAATATTGTGGTTAAGTGTATCTCCGACAATATTGCAAACGATAATATAATGAAATTATATTTTTCTCTTATATCTTTTATTTCTTTAATTATATTTATGTACTATATACATATAGAAAAGCATAGAAAATGCCTTAACCCCTACAGGTATGCCAACTTCTGCATTAAGTTCATGAGACCGAAGGAAACGACCGGAAAAAAACTACAGAAATCGTATCTGAGTACTAAATGTACTACTACAATGGCGAGAGCTAGATGCTTTCGACATCTAGCGGCAGCCGCACCTATCTAAATATAACAAGCGGCCTGCTGGGAATTCAAGCCTGCTTCACCTACGTAACCGTAGATGGAGCTTACAGCAAGGTAGGGTTCTATACATATAACATATACATAATATACAGAAGCGTAAGACTGATCTGATGGACTTATTGCGTCTGATAAAAGGTCTTTTTACGCTTCGGTATACTATGTATATTTTATATAGAACACTGCCTTGCTTTTAGCTTCATCTACGGTTTACGTAGGTTGTACCACATATACCACAAAAATATCTGTTAACATTTTACAGAAAATTAAAACAACTTTACCCTCTCTAAGACACTGTTTTCCGTATTTGGTCTACATTAAATTTTTCCCGAGCCAAAGGCATTATATTTTAGGCTTACTCTTTTTCTCACAAACAACTAATTCAATTAGAAACCCGTAAATGACTTAGGACCGTTGGAGATATTTTTTCTCCGTTGACAAATATTCTTTCCGACAAAATAAATACGCCTTTTTTCTGTGTGCGTTTCCGGGCGAAAAAATCCCCGCCCAAATAATCGTTCTGACGTGAATTTTTCCGTTTCAGCTCCTCCGTCCTCGGTGGAAATCCTCGACCATCGTCACAATTCCAAAATCGAAATAAAGGAGAACCAGGAGTTTCATTTGGAGTGTCGGGTGAGGAACGCCAAGCCGGCTGCGAAGATCGTGTGGTACAGAGGAAATGTGGAGATAAATATACGTAAGTACATAGTAATAAATTTGAGACTAGAGATAGGTTTACATGTTTTTTTTGTGTCTAGTAGTACATACTTGTAAATTACATAGTTAAGAACATTAAAACGACATTTCTACGGCCTCAAGTTTTAAATTATATTAAGTAATAAACTACTGACAAAATATGAAATATCGTTGATTGAAGAAATAAGAAAATGTGCAACCTTATGGGCGATTTCGTGGCACAAAACCTGTCCGGGATATAGCTGAAGATACCGTCGCTGCTAGTCAACTTCTCCGAGAATTAGTTTAGCTCTGCGTGCTGATAGTCGTCTACAGCGCAGCAGATAAAGAATACTGTGCCGTAGTTCTGCTTTCAGTCGACAGCTATGATGGTTGTCGGAGACAGTGTTTTTGGGTACAGTAGGTTAATAATACGGATTTTCTGTCATTAAAAAATTTAATATAAGATTATATAATTAATTAAACAAAGACGTTAGAGTTGGCTTGGAAATGAAGATCGCTGTTATTTCGTTTGTCAAATATTATAATAAATGTCAATAGTCGTCATTTCCAAGCCAACTAAACGACTTTTTTTGATCATACGAAATATTCAGTACCTATAAAAAGATTTTTATTTTTGTTTATTCTATGTTTAACACGATTAAATTATCAATACATAAACGCGGATTTTTCCGCATACAAAGATATTTTCGTCAATAAAACGTATTATAAATATTACACATTTTAATCTGGGAACACTCGCTTTCAGTTTCACACCTTCTTGAATATGCCTTCGTTGGCCGCAGAACGAGTTGGGGCTCCACCGTACAGTACTTGAGACCCAAGGGGAAATCAAATCAGCCTTTTGCGAGACGAATTTGCCCATTAGGCAATAGGCAAATAAACTAAAATAAGCAGTATTATAACAACGCATAATAGCTATATTAGACATACAACGTTTTAGTATTAACGAAGATAAACTTAATATAATCGATTAATAACAGGTCAAATTAATTTTATAAACTCAGTCAAATAATTTTTCAAATATATTTAGGCTTGACAGATTAATGCTTCATTAATGCATATACAGTGTGTCCTCGAATCGTCTCATTTACAAAAGAATTTTTGTTTATTTTAAACATTTTGTTGTTAACAAGCAAATGTCAATAAGAAAGTTTTTTCTCTTAAGCAAAATTTTTAAAATAAAAAAATTAATAGTTTTCATTTACTATCATAGATTGACTAGCAAATGTCTAGGGGATTAAAGGTATTATTAAATTGGACAACAATATAACTCTAAAAAGGATATTTTAGCCATTGTTTAAAAAGTATATAAAGAATTTTATATCAAAGGTTGTTCAAAAATTGGGTATCACTTTTTTTGATTAATATGCATTTAAAATAGAATTTGTGCTAAAAAATAAAATTCCGCTTGTTTAAACATCGTAAATCAACCTTTCAATATTACTGAAAGCGAGAATTCATCAACAGTTTTGAGTTGTTGTAATAATAACCTTACGTATGATTAATTATTAATTATATATGATTTGAGCTATTTACAGAATACATGTTTTTCATATTAGGAAACTACTGTTACGTTTTTAGATACCGTCTTCCAAATAGAGGGATTATCATATACATACATATATAATATATAATAATTATAATAATAACTTTATTTAATAAAATTAAATAAGCGAAATGTGGCTTAAAAATCACTAGCACTTAACCCAATATAATGTGTAATTCTGAAAAAAGGTGGTGGATGTTTGACACAAAAATCTAAAAATTAAATAAGTTGTTTTTGGTAAAATTCAAACGGAAATCAGCCTTTCGATACTTTTTTAATAAAAAAGAACAATTTTAACAAAAAGAAGATAAAGTTTCAGAATTATTTCAAATCATTATTACAGAATTTATTTCTATGGTTTGCTAAAAAAATGAATTATCATATGATTAGAAATACTATACAGGGTGGTCCGAATTGTATTCCGGAAACTTCGGCAGCATATTCTGCAGATAAAAATAAGTAAAAAAGTTCGTATAAATGTAGGTCCTAAAGTGCTTAGTTTCAGAGATACAGGGTGTAGAATTTTCATTTTTATTTCGATTTTTTCCAAATAATTTTTGAAGTAACGTCAATATTTGGATGAAAATTGGTGTTTAGGAGTTTTTTGACATGAGAAATTTGATTTTGATGTCAACATGACTCCTACGGGTAGAGGGCGCCACCTACATGTGTTTTAACTGTTTTGAAGCGTAATAACTTTTTATTCGTACCTGTATAAAACTACCGAGCGAAAAAATACATATTTCCAACACTTTTTACATAAAAAATATCTCTTTGTAAAAATCGCTACGAGCAACCGTTCTTAAGATATTTAGAATGGAAATAGTCAATACATGTCATTATTGACGAAAAATAAACACGTTGAATTGATAGCTTTTCGCTGAAATAATAAATTTGGGAAATTTTTATTTTTTTTTAATTAATCATAATTTTTTCTGCAAAAAATGATGATAAAACAGTTTCTGTTGAACTTTTAACACAAGAACATTTCAAATTTATAATTTCAATCCAATAACTATTTAGTCGACATGTTTAATTTATGACAATGATGACAGGTATTGATAAGTTCGATTTCAAATATCTCGAAAACCATTACTCGTAGCGATTTTTACCAAGAGACCCTTTTCACGTAGAAAACGTCGTAAATGTATATTTTTTTACTCAGGAGTTTTATACAGATACGGACAAAAAGTTATTACTCTTCAAACCATTTAAAAAATATGTAGGTGGCGCCCTCTACTAGTAGGAGTCATATTGACGTCAAAATCAAATTTCTCATATCAAAAAACTCCCAGACAGCAATTTTCATCCAAATATTGACGTTACTTCAGAAATTATTTCGAAACAATCGAAATAAAAATGAAATTTCTACACCCTGTATCTCCGAAACTAAGCATTTTAGGACATACATTTATACGAACTTTTTTACTTATTTTTATCTGCAGAATATGCTGCCGAAGTTTCCGGAATACAATTCGGACCACCCTGTATAGGCTTGGTGCACCTCAGATGATTTTAAAAATTCGTACCGTAGCGTTCGATACGGCAGAAATCAGAAGTTTTCGGTTCTGTATTTGATGTAATTCCGATGTTGATCACATTGAAATTATATTAAAATCGTGGCTTTGTTATATTTAAGTATTTTGGTTTTTAATAGTGCAGTTATTGAAACTATAAAATGCTCAAGTACGATTTTTGTGTAATGTAAAGTTGTTTCGAGTAGTAAAAATTAAGTGAAAAAAAAAACCGAATTGGACATCGCTTTGTGTTGTGACATTTTTAAATGTTAATAAAATGTTAACACGTAAAGGAGGGCGTAATTACGTGGTTGTTGGGTGCAATAACTGAACTTTTCCAGACATTATCGTTTATTTAGAACCCTGTAGGACTACATTCAATTAAAACTAGCTTCACTTTTTACAGCAAAGTAAAAAAGTGTATTTTCTATGTATTTATAAATTTAAAACATGGCATCTCTTCTTTTATTGATAATACTATGCTTTTAAATATTAAGAAACTACTTTAGTTGATGCAATAAATCAATAAAAGCCAACGAAAATTATATTTAAAAGTACTGTATAAGCTAAATCACTGCCGAGTATTGCTTTTTCGAGTATTTCCAAAGTTAATGTCTTATACACCATTCTATTAACTATGCATTTCTTTAAAATATATATCTAAGTGCAATTCCAGTACATGCACGCCCACAAAACAAACCAACATTTCCAGAAAACTCGAGGTAAACGTTCCAAAACAGAAACCCTTTTGGTATTCAGACTGCAGAACTGCAACTTTTATGACTTTTATTAGAAGCCTTAAACATTCGAACAAAAAATATGGTAAATAAGGCCGCATTTACAATTATTTGCGTGGCAGTTTCGACGTCGGAGGTATCGTTTCTGGAAACGAACCGAGCGAGGCGCCAAAGCGTGATGAGATTTTTAATGGTATAGTTATGTTTACCTTTAGGTTTTATAATAATACGGGATTTATTAGTAGTTCTTTTACCTTTATATTTTTTATTGAAAATGAAAATATTTATAAAAATATGCGTCATAAATTAACTGTTTTCTTTATAATATTCCTTATATTTTTCAGAAGTCAACGGTTTTCTAAACATTTTTTTTTCTCCGATAGGACTCAAATATATATTTCACCGGGTGGGTCTTAAATAAGTGCTGTATAATATTTTCAGGGCTGGTAGGTCTCGATAAAATAAACATATTTTTTCTTTACCGTTTTTCCAATAATTCTAAAATAACCGAGATAATTTTACTTTGAAAATTTCCAAAAAAAAATATTTTTTTGCTAAAATTTTGAGAACCACTGGATCTTTTCTGGATTTTCTTTTTTGCAAATTTAATTTGCTACCTATGTTGCCATATAATAATAATAAACAAATTATATTTTTTAACTAAAAACTAAAAATAATTAGAATTTTTTTTTGCGAGAGAAACCTCTTAATCGTGTTTCTGGGGTCGAAATATACTAACCCTAAAAATATTTGCACTTATTTATGACTCACCCTGTATATATGTCTCTGCATTATTAGATCTAAAATACTTGATTCCTGTATATTATTTGAAAATGCGTTGGTTACTAGGCAAAATGTAGATAAGAAGTCGAGAAGATAAATATGTATGTAATTTCTAACTTAGACTTTTTGAATAAAAAGTAAAAGTAAATGTAAAAAGTTAAATTAACATCTCCTGCTAAGACTAATCTGGCCGGGCCTACTTTCTTTTATGCGGAATCTGAACCGAGGTTCTCGGACATACCATTGTCAGTGGCTTATCGACTTGGCCAGTGTCTAAATAGACTTTTATTAACATATCTCGTTCTCATCTCATCCGGCCTCGAACCGCGATGAATTATCGGTGCGTGTCAATAGATTTTACACTTTTGCCATTGAACAACAGCAAGGCAGAGTTTCCAGAGAGTCACCCGTCCATCTACTCGCATCGTCTAACTTGGGTGATCTATTGGGAACCGTAGACGGAGTTGAGCTGTTGCTCTTTGAATAACAAGATTAAAGAAGGAGCATATTAAAAAACTCAACGCATTGGAGTATTAAAAATATGGCCGACTTAAATTCCGGTTTGCACTGACAAATCATTTTATTTGAAACGTATAAAATATAATGGGGGGTAGGCTCAGTAAGTTGTTGATTTCGTTTATGTTTTCAACAAATGCTATTTGTAAAATTATAATAAACCTAATATAAAATGAATCACAAATAACAAAAATAATCTCAGAAAAGGAAGACAGATCTGCAAAATTTCAAATCAAATTCAAATATGTCAATAGTAACGTCAAACAGAACTGTTCATAATGTTTAAATCGCCTTTAATGAAAAAATAGTCATTATACTTTTTTCTTAATCTTTTTATTTCATGATTTTCATGTATTCCCGATTAATTTTGAGACAAGTCAAAGTGCGGAGTTTTTAATTTTTAAAACGTTGTTAGTTTATACTTATCGGAGAAAAATGGTATTTGTATATCCTAGAAAAAGACTACTATTTTTGAACTAGTGGTGATTATTCTTGGTGGTTGTGCTTCAGCCACCAACTTCCGTTATCCTAAAATATTTTTTTTGTTTTTTTCAATAGGAAAACTACTGTACTAATGTACCTACTATAGGCTTGGTGCATTCTCCGCCGGTGCTGCCACCATCGGAGAATAGTGTAAGCAGCGGGTTTTTAGTAAAAGCAGTAATAAACTGGTATATTAAGAAGGTCTAACTTGGCATTATAATTTATTATTAAAAGCTAAGAAGCATAGTTTTACGTACCGGTTTTGCTAGTGGGACATAACTGGGGCTATTTGGGCTCTAACAAAATTTTTTAAACGCACAAAATTACAATTTTAGACGTTCATAACAAAATTAAGCACTAGTTGATTAAAAAGAAGTATATTATTAGTATTGATTAATTATATTTTATCCTCATATAATATGCCTATTCAGTTTTTTTAATACGTAATGGGCACTTTGTTTACTCACTTGTTTTGTCGAACTGCTTGAACCCATTTTTGCTTTTGATCAAATCGGTGTGGGAAGCTGTGAAGCTACAAAATGTTGTTTCGGGAGAGATGAATTATTGAATGGTATTGCACCCAACAACCGCGTAATTATGCCCCCCTTTATGTGTTACATTAGTTATGTGTAACATTTTTACGGCAATTTTATTATATAATAATAATAAGCTCCCGTATATAGCGTTTAACGCCTTGGGAGTAGGCAAGGTACAGCTTGCCATGTTAGAGCGGTTCGGTATACAAGGAAGGTAACGTGGCTAGCATTACGCTTCAACCGCCTATTATTACCTCAGGATTGTGAATTTCAAGTACTCATTTAAAGCTGAATCGACCTAGGTACCCAAACTATTTTTATTTAATTAAAAATAGTCGGCTGATGAAATGCCGGGTGTGGGATTCGAACCCACAACCTTTGTATTGGTAGACGAGAGCTGTACCTCTACACCACCGGGTACCTATGGCAATTTTATTAACATTTGAAATTTTCGCGACACAAAGCCGCGATTTTAACATTATTTAATGCGATCAACATGAAATGTAACCGGAACTGCGTGAATACAGAGCCCAAAACTTGTGATTTATGCCGTATGAGAGTGCTGCAGTATGTATTTTTAAAATCATTTAAAATGCACCAGACCTATATGTGTGTACCTTACCTAGCAAGGTACAGATTATACAATTACATTCTACAACATCGATTTTGATAACCTTTTCCTTGCTTTCTTTTGCAGCCAACAGAGAAGATCAGACCATCGAAATTCCGGGCAAGAACAACAATAAACGAATCACCCGCTACGACACCCATTCCCGCATCTCCTTAAAACCGACCGCCGAAGACGATTACGCAGAGTACACGTGCGAAGCCCGGCACGAGGCTCTATCTCCAGATATTCCCATGAGGGCGACGGTGCAACTCAGCGTTCTCTATCCGCCAGGATTACCGTATATCGAGGGATATACGGAGGGCGAAACAATCAAGCGGGGCCAAACAGTAAGTTGCTTCAGATACCGGTAGTGAGAAGAGGCTTGGATCAGTTTTAACCGAGATGCTCTATATAAAAGAATATAAAGCTTATTTAAGATATAGAAACTTTTTATTTTTTCAAAGTGAATAGGTAAGTGAATGAACAGAAAATATGCAGTACTAGGTTTCGTAGATAAATCAGATTGCTAAACTAGCTATTATCCTATAATACTACTGCGAGCTTTGCAGATTTCTTGAGGACATCTTCTTATATCTAAGTCACATCCTCCAGTTCGTAATTTAAAGAAAATTTCAGGATTTGGAGACTGAACTTTCCATCCAGTTCTTTGCTTATGGCTTATCATTGCCTAGTTCAAAGAACCTCACATTAACAAGACTATAGCACTGAGACAATAAAAGCGTTTTTTCTTCTGTTTGACAAAGTCTACACATCATTGTGTCTGTCAATTCCGTCAGCTTAAAATGCCTATTGAGTTTACAATGCTCTGTTAGTAGAACCATTGTAGTTTTGGCAGTTTTTCTGTCTTTTCTAATCAGTCTACCTTAAAATTTGCCCAGTGTTCTCCTTAGAACTGTTTTGCTTGCCTTTGTCTTGGTGAATTTATCCACCATTGAGATATGTTGACCACTCAGAGTTTTGTGGTCATTTTTATTTTTGCTTTTGCACAACCGCAAATGGATACTGCAGCCAGCAGTGAACAGCATTGATGAACCTTCTCTGGCTTTATCTACCTTTTCGATACTCTTGTGATCCTTGTACTCCGATACATCTTAACGTATATATTGCTATTTCCTTCCAATATATTTAAAGCATTACATACAATCCCATTCTAGGTTTTATATCGAGTTAAAGAAACAGTTTATCAGAGATAAGAGTTAGATCGATTTGATTCGTCGATTTTTAAATTAGTTTTTTTTTCCTAAATACTTTTTTCAAAATTTTGTGCTGTGTTAATATCATTGAGAATCGAATTATGTATTTACATTTATCAAATTTTACATCATACTTAATCTCACACTGTCCCAAGATTAGAGTTACTCTAGAGATTAGAGTTACTCTGTTCTAGAGATGGGTAGTCTGGTATTTTGAATGAGTCGGGTTCGGGGTTACATCAACGTTCATGAACGTACATCCAGGTTCCAGTTCTGCCGGATCTATATCATTCAAACCTTTAGTTTTAATTTAACTAAATTTTGTTTTGCATGAAGCAATCCGCATTCAAAAGTTTTGTAGTCCCTTAGAGAAATCGTTTTGCCAAATTCTTATCACCTGATCTTAGCTGTTCTATTTATTTGGTAGGATTACTGTGCTCTGGTAGTTTGTAAGCAGCTGGTATAATCAATATAACATGAATTTTGAATTTCGTGAAACTAAAACGGTGAATAATCTGTTAAATATGTATTTATTCATATGTGATGTCGTTAAAACAAATTAAAGGGTTTCCATTTCACGTATACTGAAATGTTTGCTCTACTACTCAGTTCGAAGCCATCCTATCTAGTTAATTTAAAACTTATCAGATCGCGATACGAGCGAAAATTGCCTCCGACTAACACCTAAACGAAGTTAGAGTTGTAAAATAAAGCGAAACTATAGATTCGCGATAAATGGGATGCGTGCGTGAGGGTTGACTAACTTTATGCAAAATAGCGGTAAGGGTGAAATTAAACTTTTGTCCTCGTAAGAGAGGGAGAGTGCCATAAGTGAAGAGCTAAAAGGGTTGACAACGATTTGCATAATTTTTTGTTGAAGCTATTCGTTGGAGTATTGTTTTGAATTAAAGATTGAATAAATAAATAAGGTAAAAGTAAACAGCACTTTATAGAATCCAAGAGTGATCTCTGATTTTTTTACTTTTTCTAAGGTAGGGAAGTCCATATTGGCAAGAAGAAAAATAGAAGGCACTTAAAATACAATTAATTAATCTTCTTTTAATTTATTCTGAGATGTTATAACGAGGAACGATGGGGTGCAACATATATATTTTTAACTGTTGGTTTGAAGAGTAATAACTTTAACTACTGAGTGAAAAAATATATATTACCGCCATTTTTTACGTAAAAGAAGTCTCTAGGCTAGTCTAGGCTTAAAAGCTACGAGTAACTGTTCTCCAGATATTTGGTATCGAAATAATCAATACACCTTATCATTGGCAAAAATTAAACATGATGACAAAATAGTTATCAAACTGAATTCATAAATTTGAAATGTTTTTGTGCCAAAGTTCGAACAGAAACAAAGTTTCATAATAATTTTTCTAGGAAAAATAATGATTAATTTAAGAAAAATAAAGAGTTCTCAAATTTATCAATCCAATCAAATAACTATCCAGAGAGAACATGTTTATTTTTGTCAGTGATGATATTTATTGATAATTTTTATTCCAAATATTTTGAGAACGTTTAGTTGTAGGGATTTTTATCAAGAGAACTTTTTTACGTAAAGAAATATCAGAAATATATTTTTTTAATCAGTGGTTTTATACAGGTACAGACGAAAAGTTATTACTCTTTAAACCAGTTAAAAAATATGTCGGTGGTGCCCTCTATAAGTAGGAATCGTATAGACATGTAGATCCAAATTTCTCATGTCAAAAAACACCCAGACACCAATTTTCATCCAAATGTTCAACTAATGTCAATTAGTTCAGAAATTGTTTTGAAAAAAATCGAAATAAAAAAGGAAATTCAGCACCTTCTATTTCCGAAACAAAGAATTTTAGAACATAAATTTACAGAAACTTTTTTACATATTTTTATCTGCAGAATATACTGCGAAGTTTCCCGAATGCAATTCAGACCACCCCTCCCTAATTAATAGTGCTAATAAATGAGAATATGAGCTAAATAGCTTTAACCCCATACGCGTATATATCAATAAAAAAGCTGCACGGTACCTATATTATAATTATATTTCCTTTTCAGGTGGAATTAGTATGTAGAAGTCGTGGAGGAAATCCTCCAGCTCAACTAATTTGGTACAAAAATGGAGAACAAATTAGAATGGCTTACCGAACTGCTGGCCGAGTGTCAGAAAACGTTTACACTTTTACTGCGGATGCTAGTGACAATAAAGCCAGATACAAATGCGAAGCCAGCAATATAATGTCGAAGAGTCCGTTAAAAGCAGAGATTGATATGACCGTTTTATGTAAGATGTTTATTTTATATCCTTGCAAAAGTAGTTTATTTTTTTGTATTTTAGTTTCTCCGTCCCATGTCACAATCTCTGGTCCTACAGAAGCTAGAGTCGGTGATCCAGTACCACTGACATGTACAACAGCAAACTCAAACCCACCAGCGGAAATTAAATGGATGGTAATCTTCAATATGGGCTTAATAATTAGAAATTATAAAACTTTTACTTTAGGTTGCTGGTAGACAAGTTCGCAATGCCACGTCCAGAACAGTAGTTTCGCCAGAAGGCGGCTGGATTACTACCTCAAACATTACTGCTGTTGTAGAACCAAACAGGAGAAGTTTAGTAGTTATTTGTCACGGACTCAACATGCAACTGACTGAAAATGTAGTGTCGACACATACAATTAATGTTTTATGTAAGTTTGTTTATAAAGGGTTTGAAATATGTCACTATCTAATATCTAATATTTATACTAGATCCACCTAGTCAGCCATTTATTCATGGATACGTACAAGGAACTCACGTAACTGCCGGTGAAGTTCAAAAAATATCTTGTACATCATCTGGTGGTAATCCTTTGGCAACTCTTACGTGGTATAAAAATGACAAGAAGGTACATACATTTCCAAAATTATTAACTAAATTACAGAACTAATTTTTCTTATTTTAGATACACTCTCCTGTTAAAACTACAGACAAGTCAGTAACGGCAGAAATAACGATACTTACAAACGTCACTGACAACGAAGCTCGATACAGATGTGAAGCAGCTAACTCTGCTACTGAAATTCCATTATTTGAAACAATCACAATGAGTGTTTATTGTACGAAATATAGTATTTCACTACATGAACTGAGATATTAAACAATATTTACTTTTAGATCCACCAGAACATGTCAGAATTCGGCAAGAGCCTGCAGAACTAAGACCCAACGAAGAAGCCACTCTCATATGTGACGCCAGCTCTAGCAATCCACCAGCTAAATTGTCATGGTGGAGAGAAGGAATTCCTGTTCAAGGAGTACAAAATACTTCAAAACCTGGCCTTCATGGAGGAACTGTATCATCCATCGAAATTAAGGTTAACGTAACCGAAGACATGAATGGCATTCAGTATGCCTGTCAAGCTCAAAACGAGGCCTTACAAAGGAGTACCCACGATTCCATAACACTGCAAGTCTTATGTAAGTTTTTTTGAGTTGTTTGTAAGTTTTTTTGAGTAATACATAAATGGCATTTATCTACATTTCTTGGAAAGGGATTATTATACTAATTATTAATGCATTATATGCATTTTTATCAGTTTTGTTCGTATATTGCTTCATCTACTTTCAACTCACTGTTATGATTGTTTCAGATAAACCAATTTTCGATAAAAACAACGAAAATTCTGTCACCGGTATCGAAAACGAACCCCTAATGATTTCTTTAAAAGCCGATGGTAACCCCGAAAGTATAGCATATACTTGGACAAAAGATGGCTTACCCATAACGCAATCTTCGAATTCGAATGGTATGGAACGTATCATTTCTGACGGTCCAATTTTAAACATTACACGTCTAAGTAAACATGACGCAGGAACTTATAATTGTGAAGCTCTGAATTCTCAGGGAAGTAGCATGGCTACTGTAAATATAACTGTGCAATGTAAGTTACTCTAATTACATCTTAATACTTAATATTATATTTACATAAATTAATTTTAATAGATCCAGCTACAATTATCCAAACAAGCGGTGCAGTCATAGTAAATCCGAAAGAAGATGCTACATTGTCATGTACAGTAGACAGTAATCCTCTAGCTGACGACACAATCACATGGAAACGAGAAGACTTTCCGGACTTTGACGCTAGAACGTCGGTGATGTACGATAAAAATGGAACGTCGTACTTGAGGATCAGTCAAGTGACCAAAGAAGACCTAGGTCATTTTCAGTGCATAGCAAATAACGGAGTAGGGAATTCCACAATGAAGGAAGTTATGCTGATCGTTAAGCGTAAGATTTTTTTTATTTAAATTAACCAAATTATATTTCAATTGATTGATTTTCCAGATAAACCTGAGATGGATGAACAACCAGCTCTTTTGAAGTTTGCTAGCGATGCCGGTGATACTGCAAAGATGGTTTGTAGAAGTCGAGCGTCTCCTTTGGCAAGATATTCTTGGGCGAGGAATGGAAATTCTATTAGTGCTAACACAACAGGGAAATATTACACTACCTACAGACAGGTAAAGTACATTCAATAATAATAATTTATTTGTTAAAACCAGAATCACATTAGTCCATTTATAAATAAAGGTTTAAATCACTAATGTCTAACATGATAAAAAAAAGTTTACTTAAAAATATTTTAATATCTTATAATAAAATAAGTTGAAATAATTTCTCAATGTTTTCTCTATTTGAAAAATCACTACATATTTCTACTAAAAATATTTATATCAACATATTACTAATGATAATGAATAAAATCTAGTCGTCTTTTGTTTGCTAGAATACAAGAAAATTCTTAGTTTTAATAATCATCAAAAAATAAGTATTTAAAGTACCTAGTTTTAAATACATATTATATAAATATATTTTACAGTACCTATTAACAACACCAATACTAAAAGATACAGATAAGAGAACATTTTTAGTCTGACTTATGTATTCATTCGAATATTTTGTATCACAAGAATAGTACCCAATATCTTACAGGATACTTCAAAAAGTGTGGACAAGCAAAATGGCGAATAATTTCAGAAAGCTCTATTCACCATTCTCAATTTATTTCACTGTGTAAAACATATGAAGCCACCCACAAACAGCACTGTTAATCCAATATTTTACCTTGCAATGTGTGTTTCGTAATGTATTTTCTCAGAATGCTAACTAAAAGTTTGTAAAATTAATCCACATTTTACTTCACTATTATTATTGGACATTTAATATTTGTTGGTATTCAATAATTTGCTCTTTGATTTCTGGTCAAAAGAATTTTGATATTGAATTAGTTAACTGTCACTAGATATCCTATTACTATCAACTTATCCAATGCAGTATTTTAATTTTAACATACATTGTAGTGGTGTGTACATTATTTATTATCCAATACAGTATTATTATTTTAACATACTTTATAGTGTATATTTTATGCCAAATTTTCACATTTTTTTGTATTAAAGTATGTAATTATAAATTTATATAAAGAATTTGGACAATTAAATACAATTTTATGGAATTAAAAATTAAATATTTCTTGTATTACGACAATTTCGCAAAATATTACTTCCGCATTCATAATAATTAATTTTGCTGGAGGGGTTTCTATTTTTAATGAAGAATACTTAATATTCGCTCTTCTTAATTCTTTCAGTTGACTTCATTTTATTTCAGTTATTAAATATTTACAATTTGAGGCTTATGCTGTGTTATATATTTTATTTTTTATAAAAATTACTCCCCATTGCAATGAATTTTTAGCTGGATATATTTTTTTAAATAAAATTCTTAAGATGTTCTTTTCTTTTTAGGTTGACGAATTGACCTCCGAGTCCGTCCTCTACATATCCCACGTCACATCGGCCGATTACGGCATCTACGAGTGCGTGGCAAAGAATGATCTCGGATTTTCAGTAGTCTCCCCTAGGTTAGAAGTAACGTCTGCCCCCGACACCCCTACATTGCTAATTGTATTAAATTCTACCCATGACACTGTTACTTTGGGTTGGACCCCTGGTTTTGATGGTGGATGGAAACCATCTTACCGGATAAGATACCGACAGGTAAATAAGTCAAAATATCTTTTTCGGCTCTTTATTTTATATTGTATCGTGTTTCAGGTTAATGATGATGGTTACAAATACGAAGATGTTGTCCCCAGCAATGCAACGACTTACACTGTAAAAGGGCTCAGTGTTGATACACAATATATCTTTTCGATAATGGCCTCAAATAAGTTGGGAAGCAGTAACTACATGCCTGATTTACTGTCGGCAAAAACTTCAAGTGAGTTTTAATTTTGAAACGTGATTTTTTAATCATCTCAGTAAAGATGTTTTAATGATCATCTAATGAAAATTATAGTTTTATTACATGACCAAATTGATGCTGTAAAATTTTAGAGAAATTGAATATTACTTTGAGCATACTTTTATACAAATCATTATGTATTCCCAAATTTAAGTAATGTAGTAAATATTTGTTATTTTTGTTTTTTATTTAATTTCAAAGATTCATTGAATATAACATAAATAATGATTGCTACGCTTTAAAATAAAATGCGCTAATATAATTTTGTTTATTTCACAACATTCTTTACTGAGATTACCAAACATTTTGATAAAATTATTCCTCATATTAATACCCTCTACTAACAAGTTATATTCTTATCACAACGTAGAAAATTTTCTTACCATATTATTCAGAGTATGAAATAATGACAATATCATATTTAAAAGACATACAAATACATGTCTCTTAATATATTATTATTAAACAAAATAACATCTTAAAAAAATAAATCCGGAGTTATTTTAATTATATGAATTTAGCTGTCATAAGAAGATGCTTTAAACTTAGTCTTCATCAGAATTTAGCATTGTTGTAGCTAATCATAAATCTAAAGTAAAAAAAGCAAATCCGTATAATCAAAATATTCAATAATAATTATTACTTATGAGTATTATACGTGGTTAAGAATATAATATAATATTTCACATAACAAAAACTCTTATACTTATGATCCTAAAAGTTCATTTACTGTCCTGATATATGTGATTTTAAAACGGGGAGATCAATAATGATTGAAATAGTTGGTTATTATCATTTTACTCGTTTGGTTGGAAATAAATTTAATAAATTTTATTATATATCAAAACTAATTAAAAATAGACAATATTATTAATTTTTATTATTTTTTTTTGACATATGATATGTCATTCTATTCAGATTGTCATATGGAATACTTATAACAGCGGCGTGCGGTGACAATTATAGGCGGGGAAGCGAATCGGTAAAAAACCCTATTTCGACTAGAAAATCAATCAACACGCATACAACACAAACAAAGTCTAAATTATTGTCCACGCCTAGCAGAAGCAGAAGATTGACCGTCCATTACAAACGAAACAGTAAACACTAAGTTAAATCCGAAAAAATAGAATATTATCTATAAAATCGCAAGAGTCCCGATAAATTAAAAGTCGCGGAAGGCGGCCGAAAGATCGCTGCCGTGGCTAGCAACTGTGCACGATTTTCCAATTGTGTCTAGCCCCAGCAAGGCAACTTTTAAGCTTAGGTTAGCGTGGTTATTTGGAGGGTGCCAATTCATTGGTGGGGTTGGTTGGTTTTTACTTAAATTTATATTTGTTTTTTAGATATTCATTGATTTTCGTTATTTGTTTGTAATAAATTATATAGTACGCCACAGCTGTTCTGCATCCGCGTTTGTCAAAAACTCTAATGTGATTGGTCAAGCTTAATAGTTGCCTTGCTGGGGCTAGAGACAAGCGATTTTCCGGCTTAAATTTGTCGTTTGCGTTCGAGGTCAATAGAGAACAACGGCACAGACTAAAAACACGTAAACTATTACATACGCATTAGAATTAGAATTTAGAATAAGTGGGAGGGGGGTTAATCTCTGCGACCTTAGAGATCTATTGTGTCCCCCTTTCTTAAGTTATAACTCATCATACAGTCCCAGGACTTCCTACGGAGACCCGTGTCCCTCACAGTCGAGGAGCTACGACCCAGGCCGGGTAGACGAAACGGTAGCTTGTGTCGCCTGTTGGGTTTAGAGGTAGGAGGTAGGCTTCCGACCCTTGGAGGAGGTGGTAGCTTGTATGCCACTTGCGGAGGATGGTCTCACGCAAGTGTCAGCCACCTCTCCTGTAGTTCTATTTGGCTTTGGCCCCTTGGAACTGTCATTGTTACTGTTCCCAGTGTCGCTAGGGGGTTTCCCCACAGCTTCACCGGTGATGTTTTTATTACTATTATTACCAGATCCCATAGTGTTCCTATGAGTCGCTAGGGACAGTCGATCCACTTCTACAGAGCCCCGCATGTAGAAGTAAGGGGTAAAATACAATGGGGTGCCCCAAGGTTGAGGCTGTCCGTAGCACCGCCCGGTATCGTTGTATGTCTTCGTGCAATTCCCTGGCCAGGACACTACAGTCAGGGACCAGACGATGAGTGAAATGCTTCTTAGACCAAGCCAAGTGCTAGGGGGGATTCCCCCCAGCACCTGACCAGGAGCTTCCCCACCAACGACAAGGTCTTGCATCTCCTAGGGGAAGTTTAAGTTTACGTACGCATGCGCATTTCTTATATTTTTTTATTTTTTATACACGTAAAAGATTCTTTACGTCTACGTATATGTGCCAGCAGCGGCCGACTCGACCGTAGGCCGTTGTTCTCTAATAACACCTACACGAAGGAGGGATAGGCGACCGGCGGCGATTTCCAGGCGTGCATCCATGCAGTGACAGGCTAAATAAATTTACTACGTTTATGTAAGGTTTCAAATAAATAATTTTAACAAATTAAATTAATCTTTTGTTATAAAATAACAGTATTATTAACGTTTAACTATTTATTGTTTATTATTTATTGTTTATCTTTAAAAATTTTAGGGAAGCGGTGCTTCCCCCGCTTCCATGGACCGCACGCCGCTGACTTATAAAAAGATCGAATAAAGGAAAAAAATACCGAAGGTGTCATTTAGAAATCAAATGTTGTATTCATTTCCGGTGATACCGAAATTAACCAAAGAAAAATTGAATACGTCAATCAATCCTGATTTGTATCATATACTAACGTACCAAATCTCGTCTTTTATATAAAAAAATAAAAAAGTTATAGGCACTTTTGAGAAACACCTGACATGTTTTTTGATAAATGATAACTATTATACTGTGCTTAAAATAGCGATTCTCTATTGATTAAAATTTACTACCCCGATTAAGTTCAATTTCTAATTTTATTTTAAAAGTTGGGATGGAAATAAGCCGTAATATGTGAGTATTCCTTTTCTACGTTGAACACTATAGTTGCCATGAGCCCATGGCATGGCATTGACAAATAGTAATGTTTGCCAATGAACTCTGTCGATTTCACAAATAAAGTTTAAATTTTCGAGAAAATAAAGAAAAACCAAAAAGTTGACAATCAAAGACAATCCAATAACATAATTTGCTAAAACTTTTTGATTGATAGTTTGTTTTAACGTCAGTGCCGACACTAATCCTAAAATCCTCTAACATAACACAGTAATGGCAACTATTTCAACTATTGTTGATCGCTCGTATAAACATGATGATTAAACAATATCAACCAGAAATAGAAATAAATAAAAAACTAGTTCTGTGATAAAATCACATTTCTATTTTTTGCTGATATTACCTATATTTAAAAAACAGATAATTAACTAACTAAATCAAAGTTTCTGAATAAAAAAGCAGTTCTCTATTTTTTTCTACGTTTTTACGCTTTCTCCCCATCTCACCCTAATCTCTCTTACTAACACGACTAACACAGACAAGATACCGCCGTCCTACTCCAGTCCCAGCCTGGACGAGCGCAACCTGAAAAACTTCCCCGGCTTCCTCATCATCGTCGGCACGATAGTCGGCACCCTGCTCATCCTCATGAACGTCCTGCTAATCGGCTGCTGTCTGCACAGACGCCGCGCCAAGAAACACCGCCCCTCCTCAGGTAATTAATTCTCACCGTTTCGTTTTTTTCTCTCCCTCTTTCGTGACAGCTTTCGACGGCGACGATCGCGTGGAAAAAGTCCTACCCGAAGATTTGCTGGAGAAGCAGGATTTGCCAAGGATCGTAATTATTAGCGTGTCCGTGATCGGAGTGGTTTTGCTGTTTATCAATATAGCGCTGGTGGCCGGGTGCATGCTCAAGAGAAGGGCGAAAAGGATCAGAGGTTTGTTGTTTTAGATAAGATTTATTTATTAAGAAAATTGAGGTATATTTATTAACGAAAATATATGTAAATATATTAGAAGTAATGTCAATACAGTTTTGACAGTGTTAGCTCTGCAAATGTTTGTAGATATCGCTACTGAAAGAAAACTATTGTTTGTAAAGCTCTACTAGATTAACAATTTGAAGATTACAGTTGTAGTGGAGTGCTTTAAGCCCTTATGGAATACAAACCTCGGAATTCATTTACTGTGAACGAATTTTCATAAAACTTTTTGCATTGTATTGTTAATAAGATATATTACAAAGTTTACCCATTTAAATTCGTTGCTTTCACTTTAGTATTTAAATAAACACACATATACAAATGCATACATACAAGATGGCTCCATATTCCGGAAAAGCTCTGTATCAGGATTCCTATTTGAGATTTTCACTCCAAACCTTCAAAAAATATGTGTTTAATGGTAGTTCACATTTCAAAAATATTTTTATAGATATACAAGGTGAGTCAAATATATATCTATATTTGTTTAGTTTAGTAAATTTGCTATAAAATTCCGGTTCCAAAAATACCTTAATACCATAGAGTATACTAAGTGGTTTTTGAATTATGACCACGTACGTCAATCTAGACGTCCAGGAACCTTCGTATGAGAACTTCTATTCGAGACGATCGACTTATTGTAAGTTTATCGTTAAGAAACCACCGTTTGCCAGCTTTTCAAATTGATAATGAATTGCCCTTAAGGAACGTACATATTTACTAACGGACTATAAGAAGAAGATTAAATGAAGCAAATCTTATGTCAAGAAGGCCTGCTTCGGGACCCGAACTTACTAGATGTGTTGACTAGGCCCAAATGCAAAGACATGGTTTTAATGTAAAAATTACGAAAAAATGTTAGTGTCTTCTTCAAAAGCGAATATTTCCAACAAAAATAAAGCTAAGGAGATAAACCAAAAAACAAACCATCGAGAAAGGATGTATCTAGATAATAAAATGATTTTTAAATTTTTTGCTGTTTTAACATATTCCACAAGGTGTTTCAAACTTTCACCAAAATATCAACATTTTGTTTTTCCTCGTATAATGAACAGATGGAGAGTTTCATTTTTAATTTAGAAAAAGATACTAAAAACCCAAATAATTTGGCTACACACTGCTTAAAAAATCATCAAAATCGGCCCATTAAAATAAAATATATTTACCTTTAAAATTCATCCAAGTTCTAAGGTCCCATTTTTCGTGCCGGTGAATGTAGGTATATACATTTTAGTCATATACTTTTCTAATGAAACAAATCTTTATTTTTTTCATCCAAAAATCAATTAATAAACTTTGATGTGTAACTTTTTTTGGGGACACCCTGTAGAACTCTACATAATTTTAGAAAATGCTTTAAATTGACTTAAATAAGCTCACAAAATTTCACTTCAATACAAACTTTTGTCCTCCTTGCAAAAACCGCGTCGTATATGACGCGCCACCCTGTTTAATTCGATTTCAATCAAAATTTTAGTGATTAGAATATAAGCAGAATAGGGATAGCTTATGCATTAGATTAATTTATTTCAATAAATTTACTTAGAAAAAGAATTAATAAAATAAAAAAATTAAGAAGAAAATAATTAAGAATTTACTAAAATTACTAAAATAAAAAATTAAAAGCAAAGACAAAAAATGGATAAACATTTTCGTATTTTATCTATAAAACACAATACAGAAGGTTTCACATTAATAGATTCACAGTAATTGAATTCCAGTCTCTGAGCACTCTACTATTGGGGGTTAGAACCTTTAGTGTTACACAGCAAAACAAAACACTAAATCACCGCAATATTCCAAAACACTTTTACTTTTACACTGAACGCGCGTTTTGCTAACCATGTTAGTATCAACAGCAGATGATTAAAACTGGAGAAAGTTTTAATCATCTGCTGATGATGCTAACATGGTTAGCGAAACGCACATCCAATGTAAAAATAAAAGTGTTTTGAAGTATTGTGGTGATTTAGTGTTTTATTTTGCTAACATTCTGAACATGTAAATTATATAAAAAACAGCTGACACGGCAAACTTTGTTGTGCCATATAAATTATTTCTATGATTACGTCTAGCAGGGTAACTGGCCAAGTGACAATTGATCAGTTATCGACCGGGGTTGAAAATTATTGAATTACTAATATCGCTATTAAAAAATAGGGGTTGATGGTAGAAGGGTGAAAATTTAGGGTTGTATGTATTTTTAATGCCACATCATAAAAAATAAAAATAAAAAAATTGCCCTAAAATTAAAATAAAATTTTGGGGTGGGCCCTAAGTATTACTTAGGGGTATAAAAAACGTAAACCGGGACACCCGACCTGGGCAATTTCAATGGGAGCTAAAATCATAATATCAGGTTATGTGCAGGTTATACAGGGTGTCCCAGGCTGAGCGTGCATTAGGAGTTTCGAGAGAACCACAATATCTAGATCGGAGATTTTTTGCACATCATTGTTTTGCAACGAGATCTATCCATTAAAAATATTTTGAATATGGCGGCACTTCCGGAAATACCGGTAGTTAGCAGCAACTTTCTTATTTTAAATGGGTGCCCCCACTTTTTATTACATACTTAAATTCTCTGTAAAATTCTATGAATATTGATGTTAAACACTCCATATCTAACATTAACCGTTTTTAAGAAAAAAAAATATTTAAAATTTTTGGACGAAAAAAGCTACCTATCAAAAAAATTTGTATAGCCTAAAAGTCAAATTTAATGATTACCACAGCCACTGTGACATAAAGAGAAGACATGTGGACACCTATTTCAAAAATTAAATTGTTCAAATGTCATATAATATTGGCGGTAGCTGTCATGGAATTGATCGATTAAAAAATTATCATAAATCATTTTTTTCAAATGGAAACCCACTTTTTTTATTTCACTGATGAAAAGGTTTTTCAATTCGTTACTTTTTAATTATACATGTTCCTATACCTAAAATAAATCGTTTTTAAGTTTTTTAAGATTTAATTTGAAAACGTGTATTTTTCTTCATTTTATCTAGCTTCCTTTGACATTAAGTGTCAAACGTTCAGACAATTTATTTCCGTCTGTCAGAAAACGAGTCATTTGAATTTCCTATATTATAAATACTGCCTGCTTAAGAGTTTAAAAAGTGTATTTATAAAAATATATCTCGTATTTTCGCTCTTTAGTTATATCTAGTAGTTGATTTTATTAATAATATTCCGTATGATCGAAAAAAAACAGCGCAAAGTTGGCTCGGAAATGATACTGCTTTTTGAACAAAGCGTCACAATATGATACGGCCAGATCTATTGTTTTACATCACGTGACGTTTAAAGTCATAGGCTACTGGTTAAAATCAAGAAAAATATATGCTTTAAAACTAAATCTTAAATAACTTAAAAACGATTTATTTTAGGTAGAGGAACATGTATAGTCAAAAAGTAACGAATTGAAAAGTCTTTTCACTAATGACATAAAAAAGGTGAGTTTCCATTTGAAAAAAATGATTTATGATAATTTTTTAATCGCTCAATTCAATGACAGCTGCGGCCATTATTAGATGACATGCGAACAATTTAATTTTTGAAATAGATAGCCACATGTTTTCTCTTTATGGCACAGTGGCTGTGGTAATCACTAAATTTGACGTTTATGATATACACATATTTTTAACAGGCAGTTTTTTTCGTTTGAAAATTTTAAATATTTTTTTTCTCAAAAACGGTCAATGTTAGGTATAGAGTGTTTAATATCAAAATTCATAAATTTTTACAGAGAATTTAAGTATGTAATAAAAAATGGGGGCAACCATTTAAAATAAGAAAGTTGCTGTCTACTTCCGGTGTTTCTGGAAGTGCCACCATATTGAAAATATTTTTAATCGATAGATCTCGATGTGAAACTATGATGTGCAAAAAATCTCCGAGCTTGATATTGTAGTTCTCTAGAAACTTCTAATGCACGCTCAGCCTGGGACACCCTGGATAAATGCAAAGCCCGACAAGTCAATTGAAATAAATTTTACAGAATGCACAAAAATTTATTTAACATAGTATGAATATTAAAAAGTATATTAAATCTAAATCACTGAATTTATCTGGTGTATTTAGTAATTTCGCGCGAAATATTTTGAAAACTCAAATGTTTCGCTAAATATTTTTTCGGTTATGATTCCTATTTGGTAAGAATAATGTAAAGTATTTATAAGTATTTTAATTTTTGATTGATATCATAAATATCAACATTAATTATAATTTCTCAATGAAAGAATGACAAAAAAATATTTTCTACGAGTTTTAGTAAAAATAGTATATATTAAAAATGTCATAGATAAAAAAAATGACCAAGTGTGCTTTATATGATGATAGAAGTATTTTTTTTAAATTTAATTACATCACTTTCTTATATATGTCAGAGTCAAAGCCCACTCGATCATAAAACTCATTTCCAGCTTTATTATATATTTGCCCAAAATATTTTGTTGAGATTCTCATTCTTTTTCCTTTTTTTCACAGAACAAAACAACCAAACAAGCAAATCGGCCACAATTGAAATGTATGCCCCTAGCAGTTACAATGACACAATGACGGGGGAAACATTATCTTCTGTCAGTGAAAAAAGCGAAACCTACTCCAACGAGGGTAGCAATAATGAATACGTGGTATGTAGCTACTATAATACAAAAAAATACCGATTTTTTCTTCAGTACAAGATTTTACAAGAAAATTAGTATAGTCTCAGAAACTTACATTGATGTGTGTCTTTCTTTAATAAAATAAATTTAAAAACAAATACTACACCATAGTTGGTATACTTGAAGTAATCGTTATAAATAACAAAAAGGAAAATTTATAAAGAAACTAAAAAAAATTACCTGTAATATAAACCTCAGAAATCTCTTTATATTCTGTAATATGAAATTTTCCTTTTAATGAGATAAGGAAAGATCCAAAACATTTTACTGTCGATTTTAATATATTTATTTTCCGACATTTCTTTATAAATATATTACCTTAAAATTTTCATAATATTCTCTCTGGTTGTTTTTAATTAAAGATTCGTTTCTCTTTTCTTGTTTATTAATAAGTTCTCAAGCTTTATTGATCCCCACGCCCACGAGACGTTTTTATTGTTTGAGAAACTCCCAAAAGTTGTCCAGTTGAAATTTATTTCTCTTTATTTATAATTCCCTCCAACTCGGTCCCGTTTTAAACTGTAGCTTTTAAACGGTAGTTTAGTTTTAAGCTACCTTTTAACGAAATTAATTAATCAGAAATAAATTTTCTCTGACAAACATAATTAGAACTCAGAACTCCTTTTAATTCTTTACAATGCTAACGTTTCATTAGTAATTTTTTAATTGACTGGTTACTTGTATAATGCTATTTTGTTTATCAAAAAATTAGCATTTATTAACTTTATTACACACTTTGACAAATTAAAACTGATTTAATTTTAAATATAAAGTTGACTTAAAGTATTCCTTTTCCTGCTGGGGCTATCCGAACTGCAGTCCTAGCGAGTGTCTAAATCGACTCTAAGCGTACGTCCATAGTGCACCGGCTTTCCGCTTATCGTTTTGTCGCTGCAGACTAGCGGTGAAAAATAGAGGAACAACTGTATATGTGTAGCCATAGTGCGGCCAGTCAGCCAGCTTCAACCGGCTTAAACTGTTTCCCCGCTTTTTGCTGAATGAATTATAGTTGATATCGAACAGTTTTATCATCGCTACCCCTTTTGAAACCATTCAACTCGCCCCCCTCATAACCATCTTGTGTGCATCTATATATTCTGAAAATTGTAGCATTTTTTTCAACCGTTTGCAATTTTGTTGAAGATATACTGCAGCCGTTCTTTCTCCATGCGGAAATATTCTTAAAATGTTTGAGCGTGGGCTATGAGGTCATTTACCAAATTCAAAATGAGACCGATTAATTTTATAAACACGAGTACTACTTTTATTGTATCAGTTTAATATGAACATAGCACCAGCTAATAAAAAGACATAATAGATCCCCACGGGATAGTTCCATGATGCCAAATGGCATTTCCGCTTAACGCAAGCGGTTTTAAAAGCCACTACCTATTTCAATGGCTACCTCAAAAAAAGCGCCAAAACCTGCCGCGATATAAGCCGGCGACCGGAAAGCGGAAAGCCGCAGCGGGTCTATATGGATGTACACTAACATGATATCTGATCTTATCCGGCGTTTAAACGGCGTAAATGAGCAGTGCGTATCAATACATTATACAATATAGCCATGGAACAACAGAACGATAGAATTTCCTGACGATTACCCGACGTTACTTACATCGTCTAACGTGGCTGAACCGTGGCTAAACCGTGAAAATATTTGATGACAGTTTAACACTAACCATACTAAAATAGCCTTAATGTCTTGGTATATAAACAGAATACCTAAATCACACCAAAGATTTTTATCAAGAAATCATCTAACTAATTTTTCAATTATCTTTATGTTTGAGGAATTAAGAAATATGACATGGATTTAGAATAAAAATTGTTTCCAAATCATAAATGAGCAAGTCAAATATTATGACAAAGTTAAAAGGACGAAGGTGTTTAGAGCATTAACAGAAATAGGGGTTAGCAAGAAACTGACCAAGATGATAAAATTGACGCTCCAAGAGACAGTAAATGAAGTCAACATACATACTGCCATTACTCGTTGACGAGTATTTGACACGCATCAGAAGATGGTCATGCAAGGCGTTTTCCTTCATGAGCTTTTCTGTGACTGAAAAGCCCGCTACGTGATGTTATCTGCCTACCGCACTCCGGACATTCAAAAATCTCATTGCTTTGTTGCCTCTTTACTTTTTGGTTGTCGCTGTTAACTGAGTTTACAATTCTTCTCTATTGAGTTCTATTGTGAGCTGCTTCTTCCCACCCATTCTGCTAATCCTCATTCTGTTAATCCCCTTTAAGTTTTCGTGGAAAATTGTCCTTGTATCTTTTGAGTTGTCCACCCGGCCTCCTCTTACCGTCTACAAGCTCACCGTAAAGCAGAGATTTTGGTATGCGGTTTTCTTGCATTCTGCACACGTGACCAGCCCACCTTAAACGGGATTTTATAACCACGACTGTAAATGAAGTCGAAGTAAACAAGACAAGAACGGAAAAAATTATAATCAGGGACGGAAAGATGCTGGAATCAACAGAGAGGGCCTTCTCTATACAAAAAGGCACCAATGCTTAGTCTCTGCAGATGATTTATTATTTATTATAATTTTCTACATTGTCAAAAGCAAGAATTTAATATTAATTAACTAATAAATTTTATTATTAGTATAATATAAGGGCTGTATTATTTATTATTATAGATCTTAGCAAGAGATCGGAAAGAGCTGATATCGGTGACCAGAAGATCAAGCGCAAAAAGTAAGCTTAGTGTTTAATGAGAAGAAAACGAAGTTTATGGAGTGGCCAGATAGGGATTTTGAGAAGGAAAGATGTCTACAAATAGATTCTCAGAGAGGGAAACGATACCAGTCTGAGGAAGTAAATACACTCACATATCTAGGAACCGTATTTCTAAGGAAACCAAATGTAACTCAGGAAATTGTGGCAAGAATAATGGCAGAAATAGAAACAAGGACGTCTCTGGAAGAATGTATCAAACAATGATACCACCAATAGTACTGTATGCATGTGAAACGTGGACATTCAATGCAACGGAAAGTTTGAGGCTAGAGTTGGTAAAGAAAATTACTGAGGAAGATGTTTGGATGAAAGAAGGTAGACAACATATGGACCAGAAGAACCAATGAAGAAAAAAAGCAACTATATTGGACACCGAGTATAACGGGAGTAGCAAGAGCACAAAGACTGAGATGGCTGGGACACATTGAAAAAATGGCTGAATTTCTAGTATGATAATGAAACGTGAAATGCATGGAAAGAGAAGGAGGGGTAGACCGAGAACCAGATGGAAAAAACATGTTGAAGTGGACCTGAGAAGGATAAGAGTGGATGGGTGGAGAATAAAGGCGAAAGACAGAAACAAATGGAGAAAGATAACCAATCAAGCCATGAGCCTTTTAGGCTTTTTGAGTTGTTATATATAAATAATAAAGTTGGATTAAAACTACGTTTGTTTATAGTATAATATAATGAGTATCACATCTAAAATAGTTAAGTAAAATTCAACATCTAGTTGCCCATGTATAACGACGTTATAATATGCCATAATAATTAGCATACCTAGTTAGTTTTAAAAAGTATTATTATCAAAAAATATTTCCAATTAAAACTCATCAATAATTTTCGACTTTATACCTTTACGAGAGATTTAAATGTGCAAAAAATTTAATCCAAAAATAGTAATATTTTATTTTTTACAGCCTTCTCTAAAAAATACAATTTAAGTATAAAAATATTTTTAATCGACATGAATATCTATGAAGAGATTTTTAAAATATGTTTTATGATATAAATATTTGAGTCGAGTGACAATTTCTAATCAAGCTACCTGATATTAGCTTTTTCAGAACCCTTTTTTTTTCTTTTTTATTTATTATACTATACGGTAACCTTATAATATACATTATATAACTTAGGAAATACTTAATTTTTCAGAGAAGTTTCCTATGAACCAAACCAAATTTACTTTTTTTCTTAATCGTAACTCAACTAATCTATTATTTTCCTTTCAGGATGACAGCCGCAGCAAGCAAGCGCCCAACTCGTACATAATCGAGCAGCCGCCGCCGGTAGACTACCCCCCAGGTGCGTACCCCGTGTACGAGATGCAGATGGGACCCGTGTCTATGGCCCACAAGACCCACACCCTGCCTCACCCCCATCACCATCACCATCATATTATGCACGACACGAGACCGAGGTCGCGCGACGACCAAAGTCTCGGGCAGTACGGTCCTGGCACGGGCATGTCAGGTGTGTGCTAACTAATGAATTTAACCATTATTAACAGCCTCTATTAACGCCATAGCCTCTCTATTAACGCTGCTTTGATTTTTCAACATAATCATTAAGTTTTTTGCATGCTTAACTAACCCATAAATACCAACGACTAAAGAATACAAGGACGCGTAACGCGCATATGGGGGCTGGAGCTAAAGTTGTGATATTAGACGCCATTTTTTGGAGACAACGGATGTGCGAATAGAGACAATTTTAGCGATTATTAATAGTTTGTGGTGTAGCGAACTTTTAGCGAAATTTTATTAGGATGGTGATCTGTTCAGCTTTAGTGTGAAAGCCGCAACGATAAGTAAGAGCCAGGTTTAAGTGTCATAGATAAATAAACAATCCACTCCATTTTTTAGCGTTTTCTTTGAATTTCATAGTAATTTTTCTGATATTATACTATGATATGTCCAAACTAATACACAACTCGGGATCTCTACTACCAGAAATCAACAGAAGGATTAAGTTTACATAAAGCACAGCACTTATTGAAGAAACTCAATCATATTCAAATCTAGTATGCCACTTTATCTAAAGTATATCTAAAGAAATCCTTGGCCTACCAGTCATGACCTACGCACGTGAAACCTGGACACATAAAACGAACATTATAAGGAAACTACAGGTCGCACAACGCTCAATGGAACGAAATATACTGGGAATAACCAAGACAGATCGTAAAAAAATTGAGTGGATACGACAAAAGACACAGGTAATAGATGTCATCCACAGAATTAAATCCCTCAAGTGGCAATGAGCAGAATGCCGGGCAAGAAGGACGGAAAACAGATGAACCATAAAAATTTCAGCATGGTACCCACGGAGAATCAAGAGGACTAGAGGAAAACCAAACCTGAGATGGGACCATGATATTAGGAAATTAGCAGCGATAACTTATGCCCGCATAGCCAACAATAGACATCAATGGGCCCAGCTACAAAAAGAGTATCTAAATATGTGAGGGAGGCTACAGCATAATTGGAAATGGTTGAATAAGCTGAAAATGATGATGATAATGATGATGATGGCCTAAAAAATGCTGCTTCTTTAGGCGATATCATGCCAACTAACCGTTATATAGGTATGCCGTACAAATCTAGTACGGACTATTACACAGTGCAAATCCACCATAGACCTAGGCGAAAAATGTATCAAAAATGTAAATAAATATAGATTATTTATAACTGAATAAGTCTAATAAGCGTAACAGTAAGTACTAAATTAAATTTTGTAACTATCCGAACAAAAATATTTGTTCAATTACAACAATTAAAATTCCAATTTTTATTTAGTTCTGCATATTTTATATTAACCCTGTGGTATGGAATTGTTTGGAGACAATTTGTAAAAAGACAGTAAAAATTTGGTCTGGGGTCTTACTGACCCTTGTATTCTTTAGTCATTGATAAATACTAAACGGGTGAAACTGATTTTAAATATTTTATGGAGTTGTCCTTTATTTTTCAATAGAACATTTTAAATAAATAAAACACACTTTACTATATATGTTTTTTGCTACGTATTTTTCGGAATCAAAATAAGTTCATGAGACACAATGTACCTCTATATAAAAGTGCTTTGTTTGTCCGTTGGGAGGTATAAAACTTTTAAGATATTTTGAGAAACATTTTTCGGGTTTGAATGAGATTTTATGTGCCCATGTTTTGCTAAGTGCGGTAACATTTGACAATCACAAAAATCAAGAATAAGTACGGGAAGGGTGAAAACCCATACCCCTACATAAATTTTAGTATATTCGCCAACTCCACAAAATCCAAACCACTTTCTCAAAAGCAGCTGTTCGTTTGACTTTATAAATAAAAAAAATTATTAATTTAGCTTTGTTTCTTGAACTCTAATATTTATAAATTATGCAGAAATTCATGGAAATGCAGTACAGTTTAAATAATAGATATTATATCTATGTCATATTTTTTACTTAGAAAAATATAATATGACATAATATAATGTCTATTATTTAATGTGAACTGCATTCCCAAGAATTTTTGCATAATTAAAAAAAATGTATATAAACAAAAGTCAAACGAACATCTGTTTTCAAGCGGTTTGGACTTTGTTCTGGATTTTAACATTAAGTTTTTTACCATAGCCACCACTTTATGAAAATCAACAAACTCTATACCTTATAGACATCCAAATTCTCATCAAAATTGGAATAACGGTTCTTAAAATATCTTAAGAAACGTATAAATTTGTTTAATGTTTGACACCTCCTACCGGACAAACAAAGCACTTCTATATAGAGTTAAATTGTGTCCATTGAACTTATTTTGATTCTAAAAATACGTAGTAGTTATCCTCTGATTGTTTTTACAAGAGGAAACACTTTTTTATTGATATTTAAAAAAAATAATTCTTCATAAAATTGTTCTAAAGTTGTTAATACCGTTTATATTTTTTCAAATTTTCATACCGTTTTAGAGAAAATTAAAAAAAAATATTATTATGATTTATTATTTTGAATGAATTTTTTATAAAAGAAAGTCCTAAAAACCAGTAGGTAATTCTACGGTAATATAATTTCCATTTAATTCTTTGATAGCTAGTTATTATTAATTTTGATATTATATTTTTTGCTGTTGTTAAAGTATCATATTTTCCGATAACTATTATCCATTTTTTTATGAATAATGCATTTTTCTCAAAATGTCAATAATAAAGAAATTTCCCCCCTTGTAAAAACAATCCGGGGACATACTGTATAATGATTTTTTTTACTTTTTATTTTGTTATATTATTTTTTTTCTTCTTTCTTTTTAGCTAAATCTTCATACGTGAGCGCACCAACCCCCACACCCCCAGCCGACGGCAGCTACTACAACGTTTCCGACCGTTACCTCTCGTATCCCCCGCCACTGGACTTCCAGAACCCGCCCCCGGTGCCCGCTCATCCTCATTTAGCGCACACCGTAACTCCAGCCACGCCGCCCCTGCCCTCCAACGGCTCCCTGTTACGTCACCAGCGTCACGTACCCCCACCCGACGTCCTGCACAACACCAGCCAGAATGCGCAGATCCTGCAGGCGCAGACGCTCGCGCAGAAACGCGAACTGACCAGTTTCGGTAACGGTTACGGCGTCAACGAGCAGGAGGGACATCTTGTCTGAGACAGGGACGGTTTCGACATTTTGTACGTTTTGTAAAAATGGTAATGAGTATAGATACCTATGTGGTATGCTAACCTCGGTACGTGTACCTATCTACTACGACTGTGACTGCGGGCTCAAAAACTGAAAATAAATGCCGGATATATAGCTCAAATAATGTGTAAGTTGGATACGAGGAGCTCCTGTTTATGTACTGACATAATTTATTGTATTGAAATATTAATTTATTTAAAATGTGTTTTATATTATACTAATAGATACTGCTACGTAATTTTATTGTCATATGTTTTAAATAGTTTATAGCAGTACATTTTGTCATATTTTTACAGTGGGTTAATAACTTCAATCCTCTTGAAATAAAATTGAAAGAAAATATAAAGAAGTATTAACAGAAGTATTTGTAAAAGGAGCATCAGATTAGTTTGTCTCAGTTGATTTATGTACTTAAAATAATAAATTTATTTTTTTCTTTTTGATGAGGATTAATGTGTTTTTTTTTGTTGGTTAGGTAAATATCTGTTAAAGTTAAGAGCTTCAAAGAAGTTTGTCTTCATGGACTTACACTAAAATATTTTAATATTTAAATATTTTGTTTCACAGAAAAATATTTCTAGAAGATAACAATTTAACAAATTTTGTTCAACTTTTTTTGCTAAACTCTGATTGACCAAACCAAAACTCAACTGAATTGCAAATTTATTTAAGAGAACATCTGTACATTTAAGAGAGGTATTCTTTCAAAAATATACAACATTTAGTACTACCACAAAATACTACAAACAGTAGTCATTTCTTTATGATAATTATGGTAAGATATTAAACAACTAGTCGTCTAATGTTTCCTTTTTATTCTGTTAAGGTAACATAACATGTACTACGCATTTTCTGAAAATACTTAATAACTGCATTACTACATTATGACTTAGTTAATTAAAAATAAAATTACATGGCAATATTTAAAAATTAAATATTCTGTACTTACTTTACTAAACATATTTTATTAGAGTCAAAATTTTATTCATTTTCAATATGCAACTAATTTGCTCTAATGATTAGAAGCTGGGAATGTTTGGTCATAAACTCTTAACCCTGGATGCACACAGAAATAGCTAAACTGTTTTAGTCAAAAACAATTCTCAACAAATCATTATATGTTTTGAGAAAAAATTGTTTAAATTATTAGACTATAAAAATGACTTTATCCAATATTCTAATATTTATTTATTATCAAAAATTTAAAATTAGAGCTTATTTAGTTGTATTGATAAATTTGAAACCATTTTGAAATAAAGATAAATGGAAAACAATCTATAATCTCCTTTGCTGGAGACTGATTATAACTTACTATTTATAGAAGAAAATATATTGAAATTTTCTTACAAAATTTAAATAAATGTTATTACAATTTAAAAGAATTATTGTAATTTGAAATGTCCTTTTTTAATTTTGATTTATTTGGGGTTTTTGTACTGATATTACAAATGTAAAATATAAAGCAATATACTTTAAAAATTTAACCAAATATTTGTTCCAAAGGGTTTATGTCTAAAAATCGCATAATTAGATAATATTAAATATATATATTTTCTTCTATTTTCCTCAATTTCAAGGAATTACCTAAGACATGTTTCAATGTTAGAGTCAATTTGAAATTGACATTGTCTATAAATAAATTTTGCTAACTGATAATCAGTTGTTGAGATATAAGATATCTATGTGATCCCTAGATAGTAAACAAATTAGTAGTAACAACTTGTTATTTTTGCAAATAATATTTAATTTAAGTGATTTGTTCGAAAGAAGACAAAGTCTTATTTGTTTAAATTAACCTAATTGTTAATAAACATATTTTTGTGTAGATATATTTTAATTGTTTTGTATATAGTATATTTGTAAGTATTTTAACACTGTAATTAAAATGTTATTTAACTAGTCCAATCAAACAACCAAAGTTTAATTCATTATTGTATTCGTTAATGTGAAATTTCTTACATTATGTATTTTTTTATTCTGCACATTTTTCGCTTACTTCTTGTACAGTATGATTTTAGTTTTGTAATTATTATTCTTGCCCTAATTTTGTTAATATTATTTTACTGTAAGACTTATTCAGTGTAGTTTTTTTTATTTTTAGTAAAATAAAAGTTTTATTTTACATTTATTTTGTTTGTTTAATTGTTTTACGCTTGATTAGTTATTATTGCATTCAGAAAAATCTTATAGCAGCTAACTTACCGATGAACTTGAAGTAAAAAATATGCAAAATATGCATTCATTTTACAACACAATTTACTAAATATTTATATCAATGTCGGAATGCATTTTGTTTTGTACCACATTTAACTAACAATTTTTTTGTTTTTGGAGAATATTAATTAAAAAAATATATAGGCAGTAGCGGGCAGTACTAATCAAAACAGGGTAGGCAAAAATTAGCAAAATTATAAAATAAAAATAGTTATTTCTTAATTAACTAATGATCTAATACTATGTTTTCTCTAAATTGGAGAGAAATGTCCAGAGTTTGCATAACAGCCCAGCAGTGGCTGATTGATGGCTAAATTAAATCACGAGATACTTTTAATATTCTGTCTCTTTCTTACACACTGCGACATTGGCATGCAGTCATTGCGGCCTAGAGACTACGTCGAGGATTCGCAAATATGCAGTCTTTAGAATCCAATTAGAGACAATACAAAGTAAATCACTCCGCCTTCGCGTAAATCATATGCAACACCTTTGTGAAAAATATTATACAGGGTGCGGCAATAGTGCCTCGGGCATCTGCATATATCTGTATGTGTAACAATAAAAAACTTGAGAATTTTAAGTGCAAACCTGGAATATGTACGAGGATGTATTTCAGGAAAATATTTCGATTTTAATAAGGTGGCTAAAAAAAGTATCAGTGGATCGGGATGATTTTTTTTAAATAGAACACCATGTATATTATTGCATTTTTGGTTTCCTTTCAGATCACTTTACATAATCCTATGATATGAGTGTCAAATGTCAAACTTTTGTGGATATTTGTTTGTATATTAGAAGTTTGATAACTTTTTTTGGTATCAGAGATCACCTATCTATTAGACTTCATATGTGTATATTTTTAAAACAAGACAGAAATGTGCTATAAAATTAAACAGTTTTTAATGTTTTAATCTGATTTTTTAATTAAATAATAAAGTTACAGTTAAATGTGGGGCATTATAAAATGAAAGCACTATATCTATAATAATACTAAAGGGCATATAAACAATATATAATAAAAGTTTGCATGCCTTTGTATCAAGTTTATAACTTGGTTTATTTCAGCACTGAAATATAAAAACAGAAAATAAAATTGAGTACTAACATTGATATAGAAAATTGGTATTAAACTAAAATCAAACGAGATTAAAAATTATTAAAGATTCAAATAATAGTTTTTCAAGAATTTGCAATATTTCTCTGAGTGTATTTTTCTTTTATTTAAATCGGACAAATAGGGTAATATCGTCGAGTAGTATTAGAGTAGTCATGTCATTTGTCATTCACTACTTCAGATTTTAACAGTATTCCTAGTGATATTCATAATCATTAGATTATAAATAATATTGAAAAAAAATGTTTACGCTAAACAAATGTAAATAATGTAAAATAAGAACAGAGCTTGTCATTAACACGAATTCTGATTATTGAAAAATTGATTCATCTGAATTAATGGTATTAAGGGCATGCTCTATAATATGTTATGTGAAACTAAACCTTCCATTTTTGCCAAATCTAATAATTTTATAATTATTAATAAATGTAAAAAGTGCCTTTAAATTTTTGAGAAATCTGCCAATACGTGCGTAGATAGTGGTGTTTTGGACTCTATATTCGAAATAGACCATCAAACAAATCAAGATCTCTTTCTAATGATTGAATTATAGTCAAAAACAATTGATATATTTATTACTGTTTTTTTAGTATACGGTTCCTAAAAGTATTCTCAAAACCAGGCTATACACGAATTTGTATGTTTATTGTAATATTTTTATTTGCTAAATAGCTCAGATGAGACTGAATAATCTAAAATCTAAAACAACAAATCAAACTTTTTGCAAGATTGTCGAAATGATCTAACCTAACCTAGGTCCAAATATCAAAACGAAAATTCAAAAAGTCAAAACTTGTTAAGTATTTGTAATGATTTTTAAGCATTTCGAATTCTTTAAATTATTGTACATATTAATAAATTACTAAATATAATCTGGTGTCTATTGTAATGAATAATGTAACTCAACTCTGTTCAAATGCGGAAATAGGTTCATTTTTAATTAAAATGAGAATATTCCTGTATTTGAAAACTGTATATTTTAAAGTGGACGCTATAATAATAATGAAATTGTCAGACAAATCAAATAATTTTGGGATATATCGTAAGAAATAAATGACTCTGTCAGGGTGTAAAATAGTGATTTTAACAGCGTCGACTTTATAATGTTGATTTTTAATTGTTATACTACAAAGTAAAGAATGAATGCTCATTGTAAAATAAAATGTTAAAATGTCCAGTCAATAAAAATTGTATGTATGTTTATCTCCATTGTATATTGTTAAATATACGAATTACAAGCTACTAAAGAAATGTAGTTTAATTTTGATCCCAATAACGAAAAATGTACTGAGTACTTAAGTTTTTTAAGATGAAATACATAGGAATTTTGTTTAAGTGCAAACCTAAAGTATGTATTAGGATGTATTTATATATATTTTCCTGAAAAATATTTAACCTCTACAGGGTGGCTCAAAAAATTGTGAGTGGATACGGATGATTTTTTTTAAATGGAACACCCTGTATATTATTGCATTTTTTGCTTCTTTTTTGAACTTTTTACATAATCCTAAGGTATTATTAAATATGTTTTGATAGTTTAAAAGATATTAAGAAATAAGTAAAAAAAACTTATTATTCATCTTTTTTTGAAAAAATTATTAAAAATACAAGATATGTCCTTAAATCAAAACTATATTAGGTATTTGCTGTAGTGGGTCTGTACTTACTCTGCTACAAATATCTCGTAATCTTTAGCCATACAGGATGTTCAATTCTTTTTTGTTTTTTCAATTTTTTGAAAAAAGGCCGAAAAAATTTTTTTTTTCTTATTTATTAATATCTTCGAAACTATCATAACGTATTTAATAATACCTTAGCTTTATGTAAAGTGACCAAAAAGGAAGCAAAAAATGGAATATTATACGGGTGTTCCATTTAAAAAAAATCATCACTATCCGCTCAAACTTTTTTGAGCCACCCTATAAAATATTTTCCTGAAATACATCCTAACTACATACTTTAGGTCTGCACTTAAACAAAATTCCTAACTTATTTGTTATAGGAGCTACAGATTCCCGACGCATTATTGCCGGACACTGTATATACATTTCGCTGAAATATACATATATGCAAGTAGTATACCGGGTGCGTCTCAAAAGTGTATAACTTTGAACTACTAACCCCTATAACTTTTTTATATTTTCAGATAAAAACACGAGTTTTGGTATGTTAGTATATGACATAAATTAGGATTGATTGACGTATTCAATTATTGTTTTTGGTCATTTCCTGTTTCACCGGAAATGACTACAACTTTTGATTTTTAAATAGCACGGTCGGTATTTTTTTACTTTATTTGATAGAAAATGACATTCTGAATCGAATGACATATCATATGTCAACTTCTGACATTATCGTTTGAAACAAAATTATATTTTAAATTTCAATCTAGAGTGCCATGGCTGTGTTAAAATAATTTTTAATCAAGGAGCCTTGGAAAAATAGATTTGATCGTCTAATGTTTTTAGTGTCTTGTCCTGGTCGGTTCAAAGATGCCCAAATCGTATTTTTAATCATATCTCATTTATTTCAAATGGAACGAGGGTGGTTGTAATAATGTTACGCATGGTGTAATATCAAATAAGCCATATGCGAAAATGTCAAAAGTGGACATATGATATGTCATTCTATTCAGAGTGTCATTTTCTATCGAATAAAGTAAAAAAATACCGAGGGTGTCATTTAAAAATCAAAAGTTGTATTCATTTCCGGTGAAACCGGAAGTGACCGAAAACAATTGAATATGTCAATTAATCCTAATTTATGTCATATACTAACATACCAAATCTCGTTTTTTTTATCGTTGTTATTTTGAGACGCACCAGGTATAATTTGTGAACAAGAACCTGTACTTAGTGTTCCTAAAAGTCTAGCGGCTATGGATGGAAAGGTCTTTAAATAATGAAAAGATAATTAACCAATTATTTAAATAATTATCAATAAACATACGAAGAATCACCTAAACTCCAAACCAGAAAACTCATAAACGCTGATAGAAATGTCGCATATATACGCAGCTGACTGCGATTCCAGAAGATCAATGAAATGACAGAAAACGTTTTATATTAACGTTGCTTGAAAAATAGAGGAACTATGGATGATATCAACTAATATGAACTATATCATTTGATGTATGATTGTGATGATGATTAAATATATACTATAATGAGATATAACTCGTCAAAGAACGCCCTCTCACTGAAAAACGACTTTACAGCTGTGATATTATACATCCGTCGTGCATCGTCCATACATACTTCTTAGTACCTACTTGTTTTATTTCAATATAGTGTTTTGTTAACAGACAATATGAAAAATCATATTAAATAAATTTCTCTATAAAAATAATAAATATGAGATAATAGAAATGATATTTGAAAATATTTAATATTTAAGAACCTTGCTTGAAAATCGGTGTGTAATTAAATATCAGGTGACTTAAGTAAAATAATGATGTAAAATGAGATTAACACATTATCTTCATAAATATAACGAAAGCAAGGTGATAAACATAAACAAGGACTCCAAAATTTTCTCCTAGAATTGTTCTTATCAATTAAATGAATACAGAAAATCGAGATAATATTTCGAAAAATTAATAATGACAGAACCTTGCCGGGATCATTTCCGTGTTTGAACAATGCGAACCTTGTCGAAGCGACAAGGTTATCGCTGAAACATATTCATTACCGCCATACGATTCAGTACCGAATTTAAATATGCTACTGGTTAATATTTGAATATTGCACCCTTGGAGACGATTTACACTTGGCGAGTCGAAGGGTGTCGTCCCTACCAGTCAGTTCCGAGGTGCATACATCTTTTTTTGTATATAATGGAAATTATTTCCTGGGATCATCATTCGTACTTCCATCGGCTTTTCCGATAGACTAACCGGGTCTACCGGAAGACTGGTGTAGCACTAGTACAATCACAAGTAGAATAAGCATAAAAATAACACCATGATCTTCATACTTTTGATATTATCAACGATTAATGGAATATTTGCTCTAAATAACTGTAAGTAACCTCCACAAATATTTTGCTTCTCTTAAACCAAAACCACAGAAAAAAAGCCTACTAATTATTTTTTTTAAATAAATGTATATTTTCTGTTCTACTTTGTCACTTCGTTATTTATCATTTTTTGATATTTAGTTTAAATTTATTCCATTTGAAAATCACCACATATCTCCATTTGTTGCTTAATTTAGACACTTTTCAGTAACCGATCTAAGTAATACTGAGTCTAGGTAGTTGAAATATTTCAATAAAACTACGCTCGATGTTCTATTTTCGTGTTTTGTGGTACTATATTCAGTACGTTTCCTTTATTGGTTACTAAATTGCACTAGCGTTGTTAATTCGAGAAATTTACGTCTTCTATTAAACTAAGAAAAAATCCAATCATAATACTTCAAATCTTTTAGGAGTAATTTTGCTTCTACTATAGTGTTATCCATTACCATTTTCATTCTATATTCTATTAGATTAGATTAGACTTTGAGATGGCTATCGGCTTGTACCACTGCGACCTTTTCAGATCTATTGTGGTCCTCTTCGAATCTCTAGGTTTCATTCATCAATTTAAAGAAATCTAATAACTTGGAGAACTCTTCATGTAGGTCTTTGTCAATGGCTTATCATTGCCCAATACAATGAACCCCACATTTGTGAGAATGTCACACAAATTGTGACAGTCTGCACAGAATTCTACACTATTTTAGAATTAATCTTTTTGGAACCGAGTGCCTTTAGCGCTGCTTGGCTATCTGTGAAGATGGCAACTGAAAGGTGTGTTCTTTGCTGCCATGTTATTTTTTCTCATGAATTGCCATTATCTCCGTTTTGGAAAATTGCAACATTCTTGGATAAGCTATTTCCTGTTTTAGGTACTATGTTTTCAACTTTCTTGAGTAATCTGTATATTATACCGGATCTCCTATAATCTCTTGAACGCAGATCATTCTTAAAGTCCCACAGAACAATAGCAGACCCTTTGTATGTGCTAACCCGAAATATACCTATACTATATTCTAGGTTGGATATTAAAAATGAAGTTAAGACTGTCCCAGATTAACATACCTTTTCTAACATCTATGCCCCATTCTTTCCATCCCATTTTCGATTGAAGAGGAAGAGACTAAAAGAGGTAATAAACTCCCATGCCCTTTGTTCTGAAGATGATGTCTGAATGTCTTTAGCCCCAAAACAAAAGTATCCTTTATTGCAAATTTAGTTCAGACATTCTTTCGTTCTGAAAATTTCCCGTAAAAATCATCTTTCTTAACATCATTCGTCGTTTATTTTTTTATTAAGAAATTCTACTACACAGAATATTACTTTGCCACCGGTACTTTGCCACCAAAGCAGCAGACTTTGCTCTCCGATCTTAGTCGCTTTTTGAAGTATGCGTTCTAGTCATATCCCAATCCTTTCTTACTTGTTGTTTGCATTCAAATACAAAATTATGTCTATTCAGTGAAAAAGCATGTAAGAGATAGAGACGTTGCCTCTTATTGTATTCAAAAGTATATTGTATTTTCATTATTTATGTCATTTTTTGAAGGTTTGTCAAAATTATATATTCTTCCACTGGAAAGACTATAGTTAATAGTCTTTATCAGAACAAACAATCATATTCCATATAGAATAAATTGATTGTTCTGATTTAACTGTGTTAATATCTGCGATAATACGTAATTTAAAGTCGTTTTATATTTCTTTGGATGTGAGTCAAAATAAAACACAGGTTTTTTATTTTGTGCTTGGTGGATGTTTCGATAAATATATCGTCTTAGAATATACCAGGTGCGTCTAAAAAGTGGCTCACCCTTATAACTTTTTTATTTTACCAGATAAAAAACGAGATTTGGTATGTTAGTATATGAGTGAATGAAGTATTCAATTATTTTCGGCCACTTCCTGTTTCACCGAAAATGACAACAAATTTTGATTTTTAAATGGCACCTTCGGTATTTTTTTTCTTTTATTCGATAGAAAATGAATGAATAGAATGACATAACATATGTCAACTTTTGACATTTTTGCTTAAAACAAAATTGAATTTTAAATTCCAATCAGCTGTGTTGTTAAAAACACTAATTTTTAGTCAAGGAGCCTTGGAAAAATATATTTGATCGTTTAATGTTATTCGTGTCTTGTCCTGGCCGGTTAAAAGACGCCCAAATGCCCAAATCGCATTTTTAATCATATCTCATTTTTTTCAAATAGAACGAGGGTGGCTCATTAGCATATTTGGAAAAAGCATTTTTTTTGCGAATAATTTGGTACCACACACTTGGTATTTCGAGTCAAATTGTCGTTATGAATCGCATGTTGCAATTTCAAATAAACCATATTCGAAAATGTCAAATTTTGACACATGATATGTCATTCTATTCAGAGTGTCATTTTCTATCGAATAAAGCAACAAAACACCTGGGGTACCATTTAAAAATCAAAAGTAGTAGTCATTTCCGGTGAAACAAGAAGTGACGGAAAACAATTGAATACGTCAATCAATCCTAATTTATTACCAAATATATACCAAATCTCGATTTTTTATCTGAAAAAATAAAAAAGTTACAGAGGTGAGCCACTTTTGAGACACACCCGGTATAATGTCTTTAGTCATTCGCTACTAAATATGTTCAAACAGTTGCTGATGTACCGTGTGGTCAAAGAACAAATGATCGCAAAGCAAAAGTTGTTGGTGGAGAAGCAGCCGCAAAAGCCGAATTTCCATGGATAGTCTCAATTACCAGGCGAGGAAACCATTTTTGTGGCGGTACCCTGATCAACAAGAAATATGTAATGACAGCAGGACATTGCTTGTGCACGTAAGAAAAACTAAATTAATTTTTATTTAATGCATTTGTAGATATAAGTCTTATAAAGTGATATAAAGCAATATTTACCTCAAGTTATTACAAAAATTGGATCTGGAAAAAAATGGAAAATTTAAACTTTACTTATTATTATTACTACTACTACAGTAATTTAGTACGAAAAAAAAAGTATCCATGACTTTTTTTTTAATATTGACATGTCATGAATATCCGTAAAGTATAATAACCCGAAATTATTACCAAGTATTATTTGCTTTGTTAATAAAAACAATATTGAGTAAGGTTATGTTCTTATAAGTTCATCGACAAAGGAAGGTAACAAATTGTCTGGCTAAGAGAATCGCTATATTTTTTGTAATTAGTATTTTCTCAAAGTGTAACGTTTTAAATAAGCTTAAGTTAAAACGTTATATCAACCTATTAGATATGGTAATCGTAAATAATACAGGATGTTCAAAATTCTACGCCAAACGCCCAAACTTTCTAAAATATATCATAATTTTTCTTCGTTCTTTTTAAATGGAACACTCTGTTTCCTTGCATTATATTTTCAATAGACGGACAATTTAATTTTTTTTGTATTTAGGATATTTCAAAATTTTTGACGGTTTTGCAGATTCGCGGTTTTAGTTTGGCCATATTTCATGTGGCATTTTCCATAGTAAATTTTTATCAAAACCACCAAATGATTTTTCCCTCGTATTTTATTTTTCCCGTTGAAAGAGCGATATGAAATAATACTGCGTGTATAGTATACGAAACCATTAAAATTTTGAAAATACTTTAGATACAAAAAATTTTCATTTTATAATTATTCTCTATCTCCTTAAAAAATAATATACAGGGTGTTCCATTGAAAAAAACAAGGATAAAATTTTATCACAAGAAGAGAAAGGTTGAAAAATGTATACTTTTTATTTATTTATTAATATCTCTGAAAATATCGATATATATTTACTCATATTCTAGGATTATGAAAATTGGTCATAAATGAAGCCAAAAATGCAATAATATACAGGGTGTTCCGTTTAAAAAAAAACATCCCGATCCACTCACACTTTTTGAGCAATCCTGTAGAAGTTAAAATATTTTCCTAAAATACATCCTCGTAAATACTTTAGGTTTGCATGTAAACAAAATTCTCAGGTTTTTTATTCTAGGAGCATCTGTAGCTCTTAGAATCACCGAAGCACTATACCGAACCCTGTATATGAAATTGTTTGATAAATAATTTTTATCAGCCTAACTTTATGTTTTAATAGAAAAGTATATTCAAGAACTAACAAATAACGGTTATACAAAACATATTTATTTTTAATATATTAAAATATAAGTTACATAGTATAAAAAATATTACAAATCACATTATACATAAATAATAAATATATATAACAACTGTAATTAATTCATTTTATTCTATTGACTGAAAACCTTAAATTGCAAATTTAAACTGCATTTCATTGTTTTCCTATGCATTAATTACGATTTGCCATTGACATTAAACTTGCTCATCAGTACGGTATTTAATTTGAATAAAGAATTATTCATATGCCCGTATACAGCTGTCTACAAGTTCATGTTCATAATCGGCTTATCGACATTTTTGACAGAATTGAAAAACGTGTATTCGAACACAATTATTATAATTAGTATCAGTTAATTTGTGAATAAAAATATGAATTTTGATTCATTTAATAAATTTTTAGTTTTTAAAGAAATATAATTTTTTTGTTTAAATAACTGATTCAGAACTCCCAGTAGATGGCATACCAAGAATGTACAACTTCAAGATACACATCACTGAAGTATTGAGCAATAAAAAGGATTGAAAGAGAGAAACGTATGCCCAGCGGATAAAAGACTATACCATAACGTGGTATACTGATGCTTCCAAAACCAAAGCAGGGACAGGGACCTCACCAAACCAATGGGCATCTACCACAGCATATTTCAGACAGAAATTTATGCTATCGAAAGATGCATACAATTTATCTTAGATATAACCTATCAAAAACAAGAAATAACCATATTAGCCGATAGTCAAGCAGAATTAAAAGCGATCAACTCAGTAACCATTAATTCGAAGTTGGTCAAAAAATGCCAAAAAAGCTGAACAAACTAAGTAATTAATAAGATAATAAAATCATTCAATCTCCGGTATCAATACGACTGGTACCCGAGATGGAGAACTAACCTCTGTAAAACCGTCTCAGATACTGGCTTATGTCAAACCCCTGAGACTGAATGATGTATTATAACTCAAGAAAGAGGACACAATAGATCTGAAGGATCACAGTGATTAACCTATATCACACTATATATTCTACATTTTACATCTGATTCAAGGCAACAAAGTCAATAACTCTCCGCCTTTCGAAAGTATTTAGTATTTATAAAGTTTGCACATGTATCTACAAAGTCCGGCAATAGTGCGTCGGTAGCTCCTAGAATAAAAAAACTTGGGAATTTTGTTTAAGTGCATTACCCAAAGCTTGTACTAGGTTGTATTTCAGGAAAATATTTTAGATTCTATAGAGAGGCTCAAAAAAGTGTGAGTGGATCGGGTTATCTTTTTTAAATGGAACACCCCGTATATTATGCATTTTTGACTTCCTTTCAGATCACTTTATATAAGCTTACGATATGAGTAAATATATTTCGATGGTTTCAGAGATATTAATAAATAAATTAAAAATATATATTTTTAGCCTATCTTAAAAAAATATTAAAAATGCTAGAACTGTCCTGAAATGAAAATTATACTAGGTATTTAATTTATAGATGGTTTTTATTTACTTTGCTATAAATATGGAAATCGTAAATCATACAGGATGTTCGAAATTCTACGTCAAACTTTCTAAAATATTAAATAATTTTTCTTCGTTTTTTTTAAATGCAGAAAAATGTAAATTTATAACACTTTGTGAAATGAAAAATGGACATTTTTCATATTTAAAGTATTTCAAAATTTTTAACGGTTTCACAGATATTCGCGGTTTTATATTTCATATGGCATTTTCCGCAGTAAATTTTTATCAAAGCCACTCAATGATTTTTCTCTCGTATTTTACCATTGAAAGCGCCATATAAAATAATACAGCGTGTATCTGCGAAACCATTAAAGATTTTAAAATACTATAATTACAAAAATAATATACAGTGTGTTCCATTAAAAAGAAACAAAGAAATTTTATTCTCTATTCTAGAAAGTTTGACATAGAATTTTGGACATCCTATATAATTTACAATTACCATATTTATAGCAAAGTAAGAACAGACCATCTAAAGTAAACACCTAATATAGTTTGATTCCAGAACAGTTTTTGTATTTTTAATATTTTATTTAAGAAGTTCTGAAAAATATATATTTTTTAATAGCTGTGAAACTATCGAAATATATTTACTCGTATCTTAGGGTTAATTAAAGTGATCTGAAAGGAAGCCAAAAATGTAATAATATACAGGGTGTTCCGTTTAAAAAAATCATCCAGATCCACTTAAACTTTTTTGAGCCACCCTGTAGAAGTGAAAATATTTTCCTGAAATTCATCCTAATACATACTTTAGGTTTTATATGTAAAATTATATGGAAAATTTCAGCGATCGTCATTTCCCAGCCAACTGGACGCCGTTTTTTTCGATCATACGGTATTAGTAAATAAATAATAAAATATATATATTTTTCAACCTTTCTTAAAAAAATTATTACAAATATACAAGAACTGTCCTGAAAGCAAAACTATATTAAGTTCTACTTCAGATGGTCTGTACTTACTTTGCTACAAATATCGTAATCTTAAAACATACAGGGTGTTCAAAATTCTACGCCAAACTTTCGACAATATAAATTAATTTTTTCTTGTTTTTTTTTTAATGAAACATCCTGTATCCAGTATGCACACCTCGTAATACTTTAGGTTTGCACTTAAACAAAATTATTAAGTTTTTATTCTAGGAGCTACACATGCCCGACGCACTATTGGCTGACCGTGTATATAAATTATTCGATTCCCACATTTTGTTCAAACATATTTTGCTATATTTTCAAAATTTCTGGTTTTAAAAGATGTAAATTTTGAACTAAAGGGTGGTAAATAAATTGAAAGTGAAAGTTTGAATAAGCAAACGAATTTTCTTAATTTTATTAAAGGTACTGATGTACAGTAAATGGTCAGATAGCAACATAAGCAATATATCTTTTTGCATAATACAGTTTTGCCTATGTATTTTGTTCCATGATTTGTATTAACTTCAATAATTCTGCATAAAAAGTATCTCTTTTAATTTTCAGTTAATGTATCAATATTTTCAGTTAATATATAAAATCCTTAAGTGACTGACATACTGATTAATCACGATCCTGCTCAAACCACTCAACCTAAGAAGCTCAATTTTGGCATACAGGTTGATTCTAGGATGTAGAGGTTCGATAAGAGGGATTTTTTGAAATTCCAGTTTCAAGAGGGTGAAACCACCCCTCAAATATTACAATATTTTTTTATTTAAAAACGGTCAAGTTTCCGAAAAAACGCTTAAACACGTATATTTTATTTTGTTTTTTTACATATTTTAAGATTTTTTAATGTTTATTAATGTTTTGAAAAATCTGGTCATTGATTAATCATGATCCTGCTTAAAGCGCATGACGTAAAAAGCTGATTTTTGGAAAACAGATTGACTTTAGGGTGTAGAGGTTCGATAAGAAGGGATTTTTTGAAACTCGAATTCTAAGGGGGTGAAACTTGTGAAACTATGCCTCAAATATTAAATATTTATTATTTAAAAACCGGTGAGTTTTTCGGAAAAACTCTTAAACACGTATGTTTTATTTTGTTGTTTTACATATTTTAAGATTTTTTTATAAATTAATACAGGGTGTTTCATAAAATATGACCATTGAATAATCACGATTCTGCTTAAAATGCTTGACGTTTTTAAGCTGATTTTTGGCAACGGATTGACTGTGGGGTGTAAAGATTCGATAAGGAGGAGTTTCTCGAATCTCAAATTCCAAGAGGGTGAAAACGCCCCTCAAATATTACAATATTTGTTATTTAAAAAACGGTTAGTCTTTCGGGAAAACGCTTGGACAAGCACAATTTATTTGATTTTTTTTACATATTTTTAAATTTTTTAAAAAATCATACAGGGTGTTTCAAAAAGTTGGGTAATTTCTTAACCACGATTCTGCTTAAATTGCTTGACGTAAAAAGCTTATTTTTGGCAAACAGATTTTTCGGAAGTCAAATTCCAACGAGATAAAACTACCCCTCAAATATTACCAAGTTATATAACATCGCCATATTGTTTTTTCTCATGCTGACATAAATGTGAGAAAATTTTATCCAGTTTGTATGTTAATGGAAATTATTTTGCTTTGCTTTATCATCACCATAACAAATGATTAATTCGACGTGAACGAAGTCGCTGGTACACGCTAGTATTAAATATAAATAACATTAAGATTGATAACATAATAGATTGCTTTACACAGAAAACTTACTATAGTAAGAAAAATACACATATTAATCGAAACTGATAGTTTACCATTATATTTTAAAATTTATTTATAATTTACGCTTTTTAGAACATATTTTTTTATAAACTTTCTTTCTTAAAATGTCTTTTGAAACCAGCAAATATATATTTTACTTAACTTGGGAAATTTTATTTTATAAAAAGAATATAAAAAGTGTATTAAAATAAATAATCCAAGTAACAAAGTAAAAAAGGCTTTATTATTTTTTAAGCCAACTCAATATTCTCTATAGCACAGATAATAGAACCAAATAATATCTGTATTCTAGTTTGGGATATATTAAGTTAAAAGACTTATTTGATTTCAGTGGTAGTGGCAATGACCACTTAGCACCAGCCAGTTTAAAAGTGACACTGTCCCAACATGACCTGACCAAAGAAAGTTCGGATGCTCAAGTGGTGAACGTAAAATCTATTATAGTTCATCCAGGATACTCATGTAAAAAGGTTAAAGACGACATTGCTATTTTGGAGTTGAACGAGCAAGTTATCTGGTCTCAGAGGTACTTAGCATATTATAAAATAATCCAAATATGTTTATTACAATATGATTTTGTTTATGTGAAATTTGCAAAAATCTGAAACAATTAATATACCTAAATATTTTATTTTAAACTTTAAAAAAAATAGTGTTTTTCAATATAAAAATAACGGTAAAATGCTTTTTATTACTATACTAAACAAATTACAATATTTTTTAGTATTATTCCAGCCTGCTTACCAGCAGGTTCTGAACAAAAAGCTTATTCTACATTCGACAATAATTTAGCCACAGTTGCTGGGTGGGGTTGGATCAATGAAGAACGAGGGAAAGGTACCTACTAAAAACGACATATTTCCTAAAACGACTAGATAAACATTAACTTTTCCAGGTGGTAGAGCCGAAATCCTGCAGAAAGCTAAGGTAAACGTCATAGAAATTGAAAAATGCAGGACATGGTATAAATCACAGGGTAAGAAAACAAAAATTCAAGAAGGGCAGATATGCGCTGGATACGAACAAGGTGGCATCGACGCTTGTTGGGTAAGAGGCATTTTAAAGTTATTGAAAATCGTATTAAAATATGTCAAGAGCATTATAAAATAAAACATTTGAAAGAAAATATTTATTATAATTACTTTGCAAAGATCAACTTTATAATGTTAATGTGAGTTAAATGAAAATCAAATATTAGAGACCTATAATAATAATAACTCATTTATTTTATCTTTGAAGGTTAAAAAGCGTAAAAAATTTAACAATGATATATTAGATGTGTATTAAAGGCGTCTAATTTTAATACTTAGATATTTATGTTAAATAGGGATGTATATGGCAATAAATATAATTTGACAATAATGTAGATTCGAAGATAACTATTTCATTGTTCAGTCTAAATGAACAAAAATAGAAGTAAGTTTCATTTTGTGGTTTGGTCATTTTTACTGAAAATGTTATCTGGCTACACCACCGGTAACACATTTGGTAACACCGGGCACTTCAGTGAGACCCACATGAGAACTCGCTATGAGCCAGCATTCATTGGGACTTGTAACAAAAAGTTGTAGAAAAGTTTTAAGGGACTGAACTGTTAATGAATAATATTTAATACTGGTAATAATAAATATACAATAAGATATTGAAGGATAAAGAATAAATAGTTAATTAAACAAATGCCGAAGTCAAAGTTTTTTTTTTATAAAAAGAACTATAATATTTTGATGCTTTTGCTGAGTTCAATTATATTAATGTCACTTAGATATAACAATTAAATCGTTTTTCTTGTTTTATAGGCTGACAGTGGTGGTCCATTAATGATTGATGCAAATGACCAAATGATGGTTGTTGGCGTCGTGTCTACTGGAATTGGGTGTGCTAGACCATACTTGCCTGGAATATATACCAGAGTTTCTGAATATATTCCATGGATACGAGATGTATTGCAAAGAAGGTGAAAACAACTGAAAAAATATTTTTTTAATTATAAAACCTAACGTGAAACCCTTTTGTTGCCAAATATTTATTTTATTTATTTATTTATTTTTGTTCTGAGTAAATTTCTAGTCAAACATTTTAGGAAGTAGTATTTTTAATTAAATCATATTGATTTGTAGGTACATTGTTGTTAGAAATAAAATTATATTTTTAATAAAATTTTAGTGCGTTTTATTGATATTTAAATAGTAAAGAAATAGAAATTAAATTTAAAAATTTAAAATTACAAAAAAATTATGGTGTATGCTCCATACCTCTGTGTTGCGGTAGGTTATTAGAAAAACTATATTATTATAGAGAATTTTGTTAATGTAGTAACGTGTTATTAATAATAAACAGATCTTTTATGAAGTTTAGTAAACTAATGGTATAAATTCAGAAATAAAACATTATAAAGTTATCTTTGATTGGAGTAAATATGGAGTATATTGGAGAATGATTTCGAGTAAATAATAGTTCTAAACTAAATAAATAAAACAAATTCGAGTTAGTTACACAATTTATAACTTAAGTATGGCTGGACCGATTTTAATGGTCTCTGATTTGTTGATTTTGTCTCCGTCCTGAATAGCTGAACAACTATTCTTCTTCTTGGGGTGCCGTGTCTGTCTTCAGGCGTTGGCGATCTCCATGACTATCATTGAAGAGTCCTCTATCTTCTGCGGCATGAAACAGCCTCTCAGAACAACTATTAAAATATCGGAAAAGCTCACGGAAAAACATGACCCCAAAAATTAAATTTTAAATAAATTAAATTTGAGACGCCATAATCCACAGTTGGCAGCTCACATCACGTTGGCTTATAGCACGTTGGATATCCAATTGATATCCTCAGATTTTTCTGTGTCGTTCACTAAGTATGCAACATATGGATTTTTTAATAAAAGTCCTATCATAAAAGTTAATGCATGTCCGATAACCATATCAGCGGTACTTATTAATAACTGCAAGTCTAACAACCTACAGGGTAGACCAAAAATAAGAAAACCGTTCATGAGTAAAATACCATTATTTGAAAGAATTTTGAAAATTGGTATTAAGAAGAGATGTTTGTGATTAAAAGATAAGCCTAAAAACAATCTCACAGCCTCTTACGTGAAAAATGAAAATTTATCATAAAATTTTAAGGCTTTCTCGTATAGTGCAATTTTTTGATGTTCCGCGTATACTTGCGTTAAAATTAAATTAAATTTATTAAAATCAGAATGTAGAATGTTTAGGAGGAGGGTTAATCACCGCGACCTCTATTGTGTGTTCCCTATCTAATGTATAACGGGTTATAACTCATCATACAGTCTCAAAACTATGACAAAAAAAGCCAGTATCTGAGACGGCTCCACAGAGGCCAGCTCTCCATCTTCGACATCAACCTTACCAAAGTTTATGGCACGAACGGTTGTCGTCTCGGCGCACTCATTGATAAGTTGTTCTGGTGCTTCCCCATTTTTCCCACAGAATCTGCATTCGCTGTTGTTTCTCAGCTTCAGTCTACTGAGATGTTCGTTGAGGAGACAGTGTCCTGTTAGAAACCCCGTGACAATCCGAGCTTCTTCTTACAGTGCCATACTTTATACAGAGCGTCGGCTACCTCTCGCATGTACTTGTGATATGTGTCATTAGTGTTTCAGAAGTGCACGGGCATTAGCGTAACGAGCAATTTATCCTGGGGGGGCCTGGGGTTGAGCCCAGGGGGGGCCTAGGGCTTTTGTTTTTTTAAAAATGAAAAATAATTTTAAAAAACACATTTTTTGAATAAAACGTTTACATGAATTTCTCTATCAATACATTTCATAGACTTGGTTATCAAACCGTGTTCCCGTAGATTACTTAAATACCTATAAATTTTCTAAAAAAAATTAACACATTTTTTGAATACAACAAAATAATATTAACTAAATAAAACTAGAAAACGTAAATTTTACTACATCTCAAGCAAATAAAAATTAATACGTAGCCAAGAGTCATAATTCAGGATTAATCTGGGAGGTGCCCAGCAGGACAGGGGGGGGGCACCCCCGGGCTCCCCTGTAGTTATGCCAATGTGCACGGGACCTACAGTTTATCGCCGAATCCGAATGGCATTATTTGAGAGGCTGTACAAGGCAAATATACTCAAGGTGGGGTTTGCCATTGCCTTCCTTGAAGTGGCGGCTCGCTGGTCGCTCTATTTATATAAATCAATATTTTTATTTAAATAAATAAAGCGACCGTACTAGCTGAGAGACCCGCAGATCGACACACTAACTGCTGGCGCTACGTCCCGACCGGCCACAATCCGAGCTAGGCCCTTATAATATACATAATGTTTTTTTTCTAGCATAACGTATGGTATTACTGTTTTAAGGATTTAATTTATGCTTAGAATTTCTAAAATATTTTTTTCCATATGCCAGATACTTCATTAACTAAAAAATGTCTATATCTATGGGGCGGATTCGTCTCTCCAAAAAAATCCTATATGGAAGAAAAATTCTATATCCTAAATTTGTATATCTTTAAACGTAACTTCTGACAAGTAGTTTCCGTTTGGGATTAACGCAAAAGTGTTTACATAAAATAACTATTTTATTTTGTAGATTTTCTTGAAGTGGCGAAAAACCCATATAGGATTTTTTTGGAGATACTTAACTCAATCTCAACATGTGAATAATAGGAATAATTTAAAGATTTTTGTATTTTTGGCATACTCTATAGGTTGTTTGACTTGCAGTCATTCTAAGTTCCGCTGATATGATTATCGCACATGTACTAACCTTTGACAGTATTCCTATTTAGATACGAGTACCCAAAACTGAGTTTAATGCTAATCGCAGAGAGGTATATGGAAGTCCAAAGAAAGCTGTACGTATGTTTCGTTGACTGCAAAAAAGCTTTTGATCGAATACAACACGAAAAATAATTAAAAGTTCTCACTAAAGTAGGATAGATGAGAGTGATATCATCATTATAAGGAACACATACTGGAATCCTAAAGGTTGTGTCAGAACAGAAAAAAGGCAATACAAGATACGTAGACATACAAAGAGTTGTTAAACAGGGATGCATATTGTTTAACGTATACGCCGAATATATAATTCGAATATCTTTTCAAAATTGTCCAGAAGGGGCTAAAATAAACGGAAAAATTATAAACAATATAAGATACGCATACGACACCGTGGTATTAGCAGAATACGAAGACCAGCTGCAAACCTTAACGGACAAACTTACAGAAGAAAGCATCAGGGGGGATGAGTCTAGAGATTAACACCATTAGGACAAAAACTATGATTTTCAACAGACAATGAAAATACCGACATAATAATAAACGGCGTCCAACTGGAAATCACGCAGAGATATATTCACCTGGTCAGGGAATTAGACAGCCAGCTAGACCAATTTAAGGAAATCAGAAGAAGGATCGAAATAGCTAGGGCTGATTCCTTCCACATGCACAAGTTTTTGTTCCATCCGAGAATAGCTATACCACCGAGGTTAAGAATATTAAAATGCTATATATGACCCCTGCTTCAATATGGATGGTACATGGACACTAAAACAGGCGAACAAACAACTTAATGCTTTTGAAATGTGGATGTACCGACGGATGCTGAGGATAAGTTGGACCTCCCGAAACAACAAAATGTGAGGTTTTAAAAAAAATTAAAACTCGTGGCACACCTAACAGGCACAGATAAAATCAAAGAGACTTCTTAATGCGGCACTCAGAATATAAAAATACAGCTGATAATAGAAGGAAAAATCGATGGAAAACGCAGCATAGGGAGGAAAAAGAAGTCATGGCTGCATAATATAAGAGATTGGACCCACACCGACGGAAACACCCTTATCCATCAAGCTTTGGCAGAGAGTCATATTGCATATTGATCGCCATCCTTAACCGAGAAGGTACCTAGGAGGAGGAGGACCCAAACCAAATTCTATATGTTGCTCACCCAAAGGACCACACTGTATAATAAATACTTGAATCAAAGTATAAACAAAAATTTAGAGAACAAATGACAAGCACTGTCAAATAGGCTGGTCCCAGTTATTCCAGATAATTCGGTCATTCGTGTCACAGAATTGACAAAAAAAATATCTCTTACAAAGTTAGCCTCCCTACTTTATTATAAATTTAATTTTTTTAAAACACTAAATAAGATAATATTACATTTTTATGCTTTTGGTTTTAACAGGAGTGAGGATGAGACAATGAAATATACAGGGTGGTCCGAACTGTATTCCGGAAACTTTAGCAGTATATTCTGCAGATAAAAATAAGTAAAAAGTTCGTATAAATGTATGTCCTAAAATGCTTAGTTTCAGACATATAGGGTGTAGAAATTTCAATTTTATTTCGATTTTTTCGAAATAATTTCTGAAGTAACGTCAATATTTGGATGAAAATTGGTGTCTGGAAGTTTTTTGACCTGAGAAATTTAATTTTGATGTCAATATGACTCTTACTAGTAGAGGGCGCCACCTACGTGTGTTTTAACTATTTTGAAGCGTAATAACTTTTTGTCCGTACCTGTATAAAACTACCGAGTGAAAAAATATACATCTCTGTGATTTTTTACGTAAAAATATCTCTTTGTAAAAATCGCTATGAGCAACCGTTCTTAAGATATTTAGAATAAAAATAGTAAATACATGTCATTATTGACGAAAAATTAAACACGTCGAGAGTAGAAACTTATTTCACTGAAATAATAAATTTGCGAAATTTTTATTTTTTTTTAATTAATCATATATTTTTCTGCAAAAAAATGATGATAAAACAGTTTCTGTTGAACATTGAACAAAAACATTTCAAATTTATGATTTCAGTCTAATAACTATTTAGTCAACATGTTTAATTTAGGTCAATGATGACAGGTATTGATAATTTCTATTCCAAATATCTCGAAAACCATTATTCGTATCGGTTTTTACCAAGAGACCTTTTTCACGTAAAAAAACGTCCTAAATGTATATTTTGTTATTCAGTAGTTTTATACACGTACAGACGAAAAGTTATTACTCTTCAAACCAGTTAAAAAATATGTAGGTGGCGCCCTCTACTAGTAGGAGTCATATTGACATCAAAATCAAATTTCTCATGTTAAAAAACTCCTAGACTCAAATTTT